AAGAAGAAAACATTGTTCTTAAAATTAATATTTGTGAAACATTAAATATATATAATATAATCAGTAATAGAAACTAAAATGTTAAGTCCACTAGTCCATATCAGCAAACCCCTTAAAGATGGCAAATTTCTACAAGTTGTTATGATACCGTAACTATTGGGCAGCTTGGTAAGGACTGAAAGGAAGACTGTTAACTTCTATCACTGATTACAACTGCATCACACACACTTATGACAACACAATGATATATATAGATGACTGTCTCACACTTCAGACACACACCATTATATACACCTTAGAACACTCTGTCATACCAGTTCTCTGTGAATGGGATGGAAGTCAATGCTCTGTATCACACGTCTGTCTATGTTATACTTGTACACATGTATGCAATATACTGTGTATGCGAGTAATATCTCCAGAATGAGTGTGAAATTTCATCACAGACATACGTTTTGGAATGAAATTAAAAACTGTTTTCAATGCTAGCCACTGCTCTGATCAAGTTACTTGGCAAAGAAAATGGCATGTTTTTCGAACATTTTACAAACATTTCAAAATTAGTGAAAGAAGAAACAAATACTGCTGAGCACATTCTAATGCTGAAAGAAACTAACACATAATGATGCAAAGAAAACCTGGGACACTGTACCAAAACCTTCACCTAAACAGGTCTGTTTTCTATTTTTGTTTTAGTTTTGGGTTAACGAGTATTACCTGAATATAAACCTCACTGCTCTTCATTTATTTGGGTTAACACTTGTCTCTGAGAGTTGGAATTTTTTATAAGACCAAGTTAAAATGTGTCTTACTGAGGACAGCATTGTACAACATGGTACACATTTAAAGAGACACGATAACACAATTCTGGAATAATGAATCAATGTTTTGGGGGTTTCATTGTCACTGTATACAGTGTATCTAGTGTAGGGTTATTGAAATATAACTGAGCATAGTTTAAAATTTCTAAAAAGTATTGTATCCAACTGTTAAAACAATGCCAGATAAAACTTTAGAATCCAAGACAACTGATACGGAAAATAAATAAATTATATACAAATAATACGTTCCCATGACTAGTGTGGAAAAACAGAGTATATATACAGAGCATGTGGAAAGAGGACTGTCATGGATACAGAGCTGGTGAAACCCCGACGAATATCATATTGGATGGGATGTACCGATACAGGATACACTTTGCATCATGGTACACTGCTGCCGGTAGACTGACTGACTGACTGAGTTTAGTTTTATGCCCCTAAATATAAAAAAATATTGCAATATTCCAGTAATATCACGGCGGGGGACACCAGCAATGGGCGTCACACATTGTGCCCATGTGGGGAATCGAACCTGGGTCTCGCGTGTTTTACCAACAGCTACCCCACCGCCCCCGCTTCTGCCGATAGAAGACACTGCAGTATCTTGATTCACGTCATACTATATCTTAAGTTAGTATAACTGAGAGTAAATGTTTAAATGTTATTTGGAATAATGCAATTCTTACTGCAAGCTTTTATAGAAACTGAGCATGTACCATGTTTTAATGCAATGACTTTCCTGCATTTTATATAGTTTGCAATCGTTGTACTTCAACACATCTCACAAAGACTGTGAGGACTTTGGTCATATAAAAATACAGCTTGAAAGTGCTTGATTCATAATAATGGTAGCACGACAATATCATAGGAACGGCAACCCTGTTCTATTTACACGCTTTGCTGAGTCACGTCATAGCTTGTGTAATATGTGCTCTGCTTAAAAATTCTGGGTCTGATTCGAGACATTTGTAAACATCTAGAGGGAACTATAAAAATGCTAGATTAAAGTAAATCAACCAATGACATCCTATATTTAACTCCTAAAGATATAAAAAAATAATTTACTGATCTCAGACTATATCCCTGCACCCCATGCACATTAATGAAAGTCAAATGGTGTTTCCCTTAAGAGCAAACTTGAGGAATGCCTTGTTGTGTGTAGTCAGACAACCTCAATGATCTGTGAAGTGATACTGACCGTATTATCATGATTATTCAGGGTTTTACATAGCTCCTCGAAACTGGGAGTCATGGGGACTCAGGGCATATTTTTTGGGGGGAGTCCATTTCCAATATTGGGAGTCCATCAATTTGCATGAAATCAATGATCATGGATGCTTCCCATTTGATAATGACTATGTTATAATATGTGTTACTTTCAATGTCATTAGAATAGTGATTGTAAATAGAATGTTTATATTTTAATATGGGATATCATCACCAACTCAGAAAGTTCTTTCCCACAAAAAAATCAAATTGCGTCCACAAGGACACACAGGATTTTAGTTTGGGGGTACTTCATCAAATTTCTGCGTCTAATACGCAGGAATCACATGTCCCGTAAAACCCTGATTCTTATCAAGTTTCAGTTATAGATTTATCTTCATCAACACAACTATGCTTGTTTTTGAATAGCATGTATCCATGAGCTTACCCACAATGGTATAGTTTGAGAAAATACATGATTAAGAAAAGTGATATGTGATACTCTGTATATAACCTGCCATACAAGTACTTGTGGAATGATATTACACTTCTCTGCCCCAACTGGGGTATAAATGCATAGTTGTATGCATGCATGACATGGGCATAAACTTCTTCAAAAAGTTAGAAAGTGTTCTCACACTATGTACAATCTCTGTCGCCACATTAGTTCCACAATAAGACTTGTGACTGTTGTAACCCACATGGAAATGTAGATCAAAGGCATTACCGGTACCTCAACTGAAAAAAATCAGCGGGTTTTACCACTTCTGGACTTCTGTAGAATTCATACAGTAGATACAAATTTATAATGTACGTTAGGAATATACAGATTTTGTTTCACTTGTTCCAGCAATATTCCTTAGTCAGTTATTCAAACTGTATGATGGTGGGTGATAAATAATCGAGTCTGGAACAGTCACACCAGGGATGGATTGTAAACAGTGATCCTCATCGGTGGGGTCATAGTCAGAGAGCCTAATCATCTCATCCATCAAGCTGCATCCATGACAAGGACTGATTTCATGAAACTCAACTTTAACCTGTATCATGCTACAGTGCCTTCAACACTTTATATGTATTACTTTAAAATGACAATATTTTCAAAATAAATACAATTTATGATCAGATATTAGAAAAATCATAAATTATTGACTGATTCTCAAATTTTTATACATATTCTTTCTAAAAACATCTGAATAAATACCACTGAATATCAATTAAAACGTAATAAATTGTTTGTCATGGTTTCCAACATCTGTTTAGTGAGTTTCTTTTTCACATCAGTCCTCCAGTTCAAATACTCTGAAAATCACAAGGGATGTGGATGTTGTGTCAGAACACTACAGAAAAGCTTCTTCTAATCAGATAGTTAAGTCAATATTATATATAATCCTAAAATATGTGAACTGTACATTGACATAAATCCGCCTGAAGCCAATAAAAGGACTGACATGTTATAAGCATGTCTTCAACGTGATTCCTATAAATTTCGGTGGTAACACATGTGACTAGACTCCATAAACAATGACGAACTTTGGTTGTCATAGTGACAATCAAAAGCTAAATCAGCATGTAGAACATAAGGAGAAATATTACATTTTTAAAATATACAAAAAAACATATGAATAAATTCTAAGAATATTCAATGCTGAGATGTGCTTAGGCCAGACAAATTTTATTTTTTGTTTTATGGATTTTTGTCCTCAGAAAACATAAAGGCAGGAGGGAAAAAAATAATAAAAAAGATCATCAGTCAAAGTAATATTCCTTCTAAATACTTAAAGTATGTTACTTTTGGCAATTTATGAAGTGTATATGGGGCAAAAAACAATCCAAAAACAAAATATCTTGTATGTTTACAGTTTTGGCCAATAAAAACATTAGGGTTTCATTTTTTGAGCGGGGAAAATGAATCTTTATGTTTTTTCTTATTCTTGAAAAAATAAGACAGGCGGATCCATAAAACAAGAAATAAAATTGGTCTGGCCTTATGAAGCAAAAACATAGGGAGCTGTATGCATGCTATGGAACTCCTTGTAGTTGACTGACGTGTGTGTATAATGGTTTTACATGTACAACTCCATGAACACAAAAACACATTGCAGTCAATTATCATAAATAAATATGTTAACAATAAAAATTAATGGTCTGCTTAATTAGCTGTACAATGTCATTTTCTTACCCCTGAAAAAAAGTTGTGAAACCTGTGGATAAGCTGATACCCTTCTACAGACTGCTTTTTTGGGTCCTCAAAATTTGGCTCATCTACGGTAAAATACGGTAATTAACACACAAAGAACTGCAGTGTTACCACTCAGTACAATGCTGCAGCACTCTCCCAGCCCAATCTGTTGTCAGCCTATTGTTTGCTAGTGGCCATTGCCTTTTTTGGTTAGTTCATGGAAACATAAATGCAAAAAAGTTGTTTGTTCTGCCATGGAAATACTCGCAATTCAGTCAAAGGGAGAAATGTACCTTTGAACTAAAAGAACTATTCACTCTCGAAAGAATGATTTATGGTAAAGGTGAAGAATATAAATTTGAACAATCTACAAGAAGATGGACTCCTCATGCAGTCCAATGTCCAAAGTTGGTTCACCTGAATTCATTGTATCTGAATATGAAATCATTTTTCATAATCTGACCTGATAAGACAACATATCTGAACAATCAAACTGATTATCAATACTTAATCACATTCATTGGAATTAAAAATCTTTCAAACAATGTAACCATTCATAACAAATCAAATATCTACACCAGTGTACATGTATCAAAGGTCTTAAACTACTTGCATCATGCATGAGTAGGATTTAAGATCAAGAATCTCTTGTTCCTGAATAATGGACACGCATATTCATGAAATCTAAATCATTGACATTTTTCTTCTACAATAACATCTCAAACCTGTGTCTTGTTCATGAATGCTCCACAATGTACACACATACATGAAATCTCAATCACAGCTTTTCACTTCTACATACACCTGATTATCATCTCAACACTGTCTGTGTCTGTTCGTTGCTGTCTGTGGGATCACTGATGTCGATGTTTCGCAGCACAGAGTCCTCCCCGAGTATGGAACACAGCTCCTTGAGACGTGACTGCATCTCAGGGATGCCGGCCAGCTGTGCCTCTAGCCTCTGCTTCTCCTCGTTGAGGGTGAGCCTGGTGTTGGTGTCCAGATGCTCTACATGCCAGCCTCCCTCCCCGTCAAACTGCAGCAGGTGGGTGTGGAACTTCCTGCAGGGGGAGACGCGAGGAATCAGAGACATCACCAAAAACATATCACCAGGATGATCTCAATTTATTCATGGCTCATACTAAACCTGACAAATTACAATTTAGGAATCTTAAGGGTTTGAAAGGCACTGAATCCTTAAGATGTTAGTTACTCAAAGGATGGTGGGGTAGCCTAGTGGTTAATGTGTTCGCTAGTGAAGCTGAACACCTGGGTACCAGGGGCCCATTTCTGGCACTTAGTTTTATGCCACTTTTAGCACTATTCCAGCAATATCACGACAGGAATAGCAGAAATTAGCTTCACACACTGTACCTATATGTGGAATCGAACCCGGGATAACCACTAGGCTACCCCACTGCACCACCTAAACAATCAATCACCTGAATGCTCAATATGAACTACGCTGATTCATTACATGCTTAAAATTGAAATTTTTTAATGTCCAGCTTAACTATGGTAACTGGACCAGACAATCCAGTGATCAACAGCATGAGCATCAACCTGCTCAATTGGGAACCGATGACATGTGTCAACCAACTCAGAGAGCCTGACCACCCAATCCCGTTAGTCGCCTCTTACGACAAGCATAGTCGCCTTTTATGGCAAGCATGGGTTGCTGAAGACCTATTCTACCCGGGATCTTTACGGGTGACATTAGTACTGTGATACATGATGACACCCCTAATGATGAGACTGTCCCATGTTAAAAATAAGTCCCCAAAGGTGCTTTTACAAAGACTTTATATGATATTCTTACTTGAATTCTATGTTATGAGTGTTCCATTTGTATATCCACACAAAAGCAGTGTATGGAATAAAGCCCTTCCAACCACCCGAGAAGGGCTAGATTTCTGACAGATGGTCTAAATTTACAGCTAGCTAGCCCGATGGTCTGGTAAAAACGTTTAGATAACATGTTCCATACATCTGAGTAATTTCCTTTGGATTGTCTGGTCTGGTTAAATCTATTTGGGGCTGATAACATTTTGAAGATACCAGCCCTGATGTCTGGTTGGGATTTTGGCTTATTTCATACACTGAAAATAATAAAATATTCAAGTCATATGCAGTGAATGCTAATGTCAGTCAAACTGAAAGATTCAAAATTAGGGCTTGACTGTCATATTCAAAGGTGTTTCAAGCCTGTGCAGAGCTTGAATATCACAATGAGATGAATAATGTTTCTTTTTCAATGATCCTCAACAATTTGTTAAGTTAGATAAAAAAAAAATTTAAAACTCAAATAATTGAAGCCATCTACACAATGGCTGCCATTTTGTACATATAATGATGATCAAATGCAAATCAAATGCATTTTTGGTTGGATCATGCACAAAAAAAACAAAAAAAACAAACAAACTCCTTAAGGACAGGTGATTGGCATTAGGCCACTAAGATGGTTCACATGGTTTGTGAAACTAAGAGTGTAGAATAAAATTAAATTTCAGGTTGAAAATCCTACCACAGTGATGGTCGATGAGTGATGGTAAGCAGGGTCGTCCCACCATCCTTGACAGCCTGGTACATCTTGCTCTCGACATCAATAGACACGGCGCTGGTACACTCGTCAAGAAGAGCAAACTGTGGCCTAAAATACAGACAAAGTACGAAGTAAATAGAGGCAATACACACAGTGTTTAACAGGCTTACTGTAGAACCATTCTGTTCTTTTTTTTAAGAGTGAGTGAGTTACAAATTTATAGTCACATTGGCAATATTTCAGCCATAAGAGTTAGTGAGTATGGTTTCACACTGCTTTTAGCAATATTCAAGCAATATCATGGTGGGGGACACCAGAAAATGGCTTCACACATTGAATCTATGTGGGGAATGAACCCGTGTCTTCAGCGTGATGACAAAACGCTTTAACCACTAGGCTACCATAAGACCATAAGACCTACAAGTGGAGGTATGTCATTGTGAAGCACACCACAAATATCCCAGCAATATCATGGTGAAGTACACCACAAATATCCCAGCAATATCATGGTGAAGTACACCACAAATATCCCAGCAATATCATGGTGAAGTACACCACAAATATCCCAGCAATATCATGGTGAAGTACACCACAAATATCCCAGCAATATCATGGTGAAGCACACCACAAATATCCCAGCAATATCATGGTGAAGCACACCACAAATATCCCAGCAATATCATGGTGAAGCACACCACAAATATCCCAGCAATATCATGGTGAAGTATCCCAGCACCACAAATATCCCAGCAATATCATGGTGAAGTACACCACAAATATCCCAGCAATATCATGGTGAAGTACACCACAAATATCCCAGCAATATCATGGTGAAGCACACACCACAAATATCCCAGCAATATCATGGTGAAGTACACCACAAATATCCCAGCAATATCATGGTGAAGTACACCACAAATATCCCAGCAATATCATGGTGAAGTACACCACAAATATCCCAACAATATCATGGTGAAGTACACCACAAATATCCCAGCAATATCATGGTGAAGTACACCACAAATATCCCAGCAATATCATGGTGAAGCACACTACAAATATCCCAGCAATATCATGGTGAAGTACACTACAAATATCCCAGCAATATCATGGTGAAGTACACTACAAATATCCCAGCAATATCATGGTGAAGTACACTACAAATATCCCAACAATATCATGAAGTATCCCACACATGGTGACAAATATCCCAGCAATATCATGGTGAAGCACACCACAAATATCCCAGCAATATCATGGTGAAGTACACCACAAATATCCCAGCAATATCATGGTGAAGTACACTACAAATATCCCAGCAATATCATGGTGAAGCACACCACAAATATCCCAGCAATATCATGGTGAAGTACAAATGGTGAATATCCCAACAATACAAGTACACCACAAATATCCCAGCAATATCATGGTGAAGTACACCACAAATATCCCAACAATATCATGGTGAAGTTACACCACAAATATCCCAGCAATATCATGGTGAAGTACACTACAAATATCCCAGCAATATCATGGTGAAGTACACCACAAATATCCCAGCAATATCATGGTGAAGTACACCACAAATATCCCAGTAATATCATGGTGAAGTACACCACAAATATCCCAGTAATATCATGGTGAAGTACACCACAAATATCCCAACAATATCGTGGTGACGCACACCATAATATCCCAGCAATATCATGGTGAAGTACACCACAAATATCCCAACAATATCGTGGTGACGCACACCACAAATATCCCAGCAATATCATGGTGAAGTACACCACAAATATCACAGCAATATCATGGTGAAGTACACCACAAATATCCCAGCAATATCATGGTGAAGTACACTACAAATATCCCAGCAATATCATGGTGAAGCACACCACAAATATCACAGCAATATCATGGTGAAGCACACCACAAATATCCCAGCAATATCATGGTGAAGCACACCACAAATATCCCAGCAATATCATGGTGAAGTACACCACAAATATCCCAACAATATCATGGTGAAGCACACCACAAATATCACAGCAATATCATGGTGAAGCACACCACAAATATCCCAGCAATATCATGGTGAAGTACACTACAAATATCCCAGCAATATCATGGTGAAGTACACTACAAATATCCCAGCAATATCATGGTGAAGTACACTACAAATATCCCAACAATATCGTGGTGACGCACACCACAATTGTTCCAGCAATATCATGGTGAGGGAAACACAAAATGGCCTTCACATATTTTAAAGATAGTTAAAACATGTCAGTTGAATGTCAAAGGAAAAGCTGTTGGCTTCATAGGTCCATGTTTTAACTACTAGGTTGGCCTATCACTCCAATATGTGTCAGTTGTACGTACCTGTGGTAGAAGATCCTAGCCATGCCCATCCTCTGCTTTTCTCCGCCTGACAACACGTCTTTCCAGTCACTCTCTACGTGCCAGCCTGAGATGACAGAATGATTTCATTGTATTTTATTTGTTGTTTAATGCAGAAGCATAGCTATCATGGTATGGCACAAAAGCAAGGATCATGATCGGGATTTGAAGAAATAACAAGAACATCCTGGCACCGCCAAGGGACACAACTCTGCACAACAAATTAAATAAACTTGGTCATGTTTGTTGTTCACACTCAGCAATGTTCCAGTTGTATGGCAGTGACCTGGACCAGAATATTCACTGACTGACACAAACATCAATATGTGCATTTGTGATATAATGAGTGAGTGAGTGAGTTTTAGTTTTATGCCATTTTTAGCAATATTCTAGTAATATCATGGCAGAGGACACCTGAAATATGAGCTTCACACATTGTACCCATGTTGGGTTTGGATACAATGACATGCAATCAACAGAGTGTGATCACTCCATGAATGATAAAGTTGAAATCATATTCAAACCTTGAATCTCCACCAAGTACTTCAAACTAAAAACAATTAACAGGACCATTGAAGTACCTGTCTGTCTTTGTTACATACTACATATGCTATGTGTTATTTGAATATTTATCTGAATTATAAATAGCTGACTAATGTCCTTTATTTGGTAAAGAATTTATTTTACCCTCAATTCAAATTATACAAAGCAAGAAAATATTTTACATGCACCTTAAGAACAACAGAAATAAAGTGATGATAAAATTTTGCTTATAATATAATTGTCTGGTGAGTCTGAAGATGACAAACCAAGTCAAAAGGTTTGATGAATAGTATTCCAGAAAATGCCACCAATTTGACACCATCACATATAAACCTTACATTACTAAGTTGAACTAAGATTCATCTATGACTAACTGTGCACTCACCTCCCTCCCTCTGCACAATATGTGCAAGATGCACAATATCGAGGATGCCATCAAGGTGAGCATCAGTGAAACCTTTCTTCATCATGTCCTCCTTGCTGTCTGGGTAGATCACCTGGTCTCCGCAGCGTCCCGATAGACATGTACGGCCTGTAACGGGCACATCAGTGATCATCAGGAATTCATGAGTTAGGTTTAATGCATATTTCACAGTATTTGACTCATATCACAGCAATCTTAGAACTACGTTTGTATGTTTGTTTTGTCTTTTTGTTTGTTATTTAATGCACACACTGCAATTTTCCTGCTAGTGTGTAGCAGTGAGTAAATAATCAAGTCTGGACCACACAATCCAGTGACTGGCATTTTGAATATTGATCTACGATTGGGATACAACGACATATGTCAACCAAGTCAGCGAGCCGGACCACCCGATCCCGTTGGTCACCTCTTATGCCATGCATGGGTTGCTGAAGACCAATTCTGACCAGGATCTTCATCATGTTCATGGGCTCTTAACAGTGTGATGATTGTAACTGCCATACACTGACATTTAAGATAAGATAGTCAAAGTGCTAAGATGGCTTTGTCCAAGTGGGCCCAGTTCAGGAAGTGATCAAAGAGATGGCCTCTTTGTTTAGCATCTGGTTCAACCAATGACAAACCAAGAATCATAATCAATGGGGCTGGATAGAAATATCAACAACATTGTCACTAAGGTGACATAATCAAATCAAACTTATAAAGTAATGAAAGTTTAAGTTAAATGTCAACGAAAACATGACCAGTCAACCTCTCTTGATGTCTTGCTCTTTAGGTGTTCAAACACACACATATTTTCAAGACTGACTATGACATGAATCTCATAGTGTATGAAATATGCAAAAATAGTACTAAAGAAATTGCTTTTTGAAAAACATTTAAGGGAAGTCTTGAAAGTCTCTGAAGAAGATCCAGTGAACTGTTTTTGAAATATCTTGCTGACAATTCAAGTTAACTTGCTGAAATCTTCAAAGTGTCTCTGTGACCTTGAAAATTAAGTGAAGGTCACCAAAATCGACTGGGCCCTGCACCTTCCCTAGATAAAGCTTGGTTTCAAATATGAAGAAAATCCAGAGAACGGTTCTTGAGATAGCTTAACATGCAGGTTTACATGCTGAAATCATCAAAGTGTTGCCATGACCTTGAACATTATGTGAAGGTCACCAAAATCGACTGGGTCCTGCGCCTTCCCTAGATAAAGCTTTGTATTGAATATGAAGAAAATCCATTGAACGGTTCTTGAGATAGCTTAACATGCAGGTGTACATGCTGAAATCTTCAAAGTGTCGCTTTTTGACCTTGAAAATTACCTGAAGGTCACCAAAATCAACTGGGCCCTGCGCCTTCCCTAGATAAAGCTTTGTTTTGAATATGAACAAAATCTAGAGAACGGTTCTTGAGATAGCTTAACATGCAGGTAAAATGTTAAAGTCCCCTTGTGACCTTGAAATTAAGGTCAAGGTCACCAAACCTGACTTGGGCCTTTCTTATACTCTGATGAACCTAGGTACCAATTATGAAAAGAATCTAGTGATTGGTTCTTAAGATATTCCAATTCGTACGTATGTACGGACGGACGGAGCCTAATACTATATCCCCCGCTTCGCGCTGAACGCGCGGCAGGGGATAATAATTGGAAATATCGATGGGAATTAATATTAATGATGCGAGTGAGTGGGTGTGTGAGTGTCTGAGTGAGGGAGTTTATGATTGAGCATACGACGAATGAGAGGATGAGTGAGTGAGTACCTCTGCTGCTACATTACAAGAAGCAATACAATGGACTGTCCTAACAAGTCCACATAAGTATAAATCAGCAAATCACTGCACACCAAAACTCATTTCACATTTTAAGTGTTTATTATGCAAAACCTATTTTCGACTAGATGCTCTTACCTCTGTGGAATGTAGAACATGGCTGAGGGTGGGGGTTTGTGTAGCTTGCCCTTGTACACCGGCCACAAGCCACTCAAGATACGGAACAGGGACGACTTGCCGCAACCATTTGGGCCAGTGATCAACATGTGCATGCCAGGATTCATCTGAAGAAGTGAGTGAGTGAGTTAATTTTACGCTGCTTTAAGCACCAGAAATGGGCTTCACACATTGTACCGATGCGGGGAATCGAACCCGGATCTTCAGCGTGACGAGCCAACGCTTTAACCACTAGGCTACCCCACTTCACCTCATCTGAAGGAATTAATGAGTCAGTAAGTGAATGTTGTTTGATGCCACGGTAAACAATATTCTTGTTATATTTCACAGAGTTTAATTAATTGGATCTGGCCAGGCAACCAGTGATTGATGCAGTTGGGAAGACACTATCGTACATGGTAGTGAGTGAGTGAGTTTAGTTTGACGCCGCTTTTATCAATATTCCAGCAATATCATGGCAGGGGACACCAGAAATGGGCTTTACAAATTGTGCCCATGTGGGGAATGGAACCCGGGTTTGGTGTGACAAGCGAACGCCTTAACAAATAGGCTACCCACAGCCCCCATGTACATCGTAAACACCCATGCCTCTTTGGATGCAGAAAATATAGCTGTCATGCACATGTCGTTGCATCATTCAAGTCATAGATAGGCCTGTAATGATACACTCTGTTTGTGACAGATACATTCTTGACATTCTTGCGATGCCATACACCAAAAGACATCAAACTTGTCATGCTTGGAGACAACAGAATCAATCTAAGTTCCTAAACATTTTAACATGTCTGGTGATTCTTGAAATAAGACAAGGACAATAACATTAACACAGCCTTAAGCATATTAAATGTTTTCTTGAAAGACTTAAACACACTCTAATGTTTCCTATATTAATTCTGAAATGGAAAGACTATTTGTGCCATGGAAAGTTAGCTGTTTGTTGATGAGATTTGCTTACCGTGAGAGATAGGCTCGACACGATGACGTCACCATTGGGCGTGACAATTGGCAGGTTTTCAATCTCAATGGTTGAATCTGTGTCCATAACATCACCTACAAATTCAATAAATCCATCATTTCAGTACACTATAACTGAATGAGATTATGCCAGATTAATGCTAGTCTTGCTTGACATCTGCAGCTGATTATGCAAATTATGCACATATACATACCAGGTGAAATGGTTGGTTGGTTTGTTGGTAAACGCCACAATCAGCAATATTCCAGCTATATGGCACCGGTCTGTTAATAATCGAGTCTGGACCAGACAATCCGGTAATCAACAGCATGAGCATCTATCTACGCAATTGGAGTGAGTGAGTGAGTTTAGTTTGACGCTGAACTCCAGCTATATGGCGGCCGTCTGTAAATAATTGAGTCTGGACCAGACAATCCGGTGATCAACAGCATGAGCATCAATCTGTGCAATTGGGAACTGATGAGATGTGTCAACCAAGTCAGCGAGCCTGAACCCCGACCCCATTAGTTGCCTCTTATGACAAGCATGGGTTGCTGAAGACCAATTTTAACCCGAATCTTCACAGGTTGTGGTGAAATGGGGTTTAATGTTATGGTCTAGCAATGTGTGTGGCTGGTTGTACTTGTGCACATTAATACTGGTTTTATAGTTCAACATGGATACCCCACAGCAGAATTACTTTATCGCCAGGCATGGTAACAACAAGTACCACCACTTAACGTCTTTTGGAATGGTGCGGATAAAACCACTGAAATTCCACTCTCTATCATCTAGACCTCTGTAGAGCTCTAGACAACTGTATTTTTCTCATGTCTCTTTGCATACTGTCCATGAACATCAATAAAACCATAAATAATAGCACCACCATACAACATCCCTGCTTTGGGCAGGCTGAAAGAAAGGTGGGGGCCAGGGCTCCTCATGAGGCAATCTTGACTAAGGTTAACCTTAACTCCCATCCTTTAATATTGCATTAAGGTTACCTTAGTGACTTACAATCACCTTAGTGCTTTGTGAAAGGAGGCCCTGATCAGGAATAAACGTTTACCTATGAAAGGAGGAACCAAAGGTTTGGGAAGGAACAATAAGTGAATAACACTGGGGTCTGTAAGGTGAGTGAGTGAGTTTAGTTTTATACTGCTTTTAGCAATATTTTCCAGCATTATCACGGCAGGGGACACCAGAAATGAGCTTCACACATTGTACCCATGTGGAGAACCCAACCTGGGTTATACTATTTTAATGAGATAATATTATTCTCAAACCAGTATTTTCTGAAACAAATCATATTCCTAAAATAAAAGCAATTGTAGCTCCAGTAATTACATCTGAATAGCTAGTGATCCCACCTCTCAGTTCCAAGGGTCCTGTGATTCGGTCATGTTTCTGTGACTTTGGTTTGGTGACCATCTTCCGCTCATACTGGCCACTATTCACTTCCTCAAACACCTGGAACATCTCCGACACCCTGTCTGTGTAGCCGGCCAGCTCGGTGATCTGACGAATGCAAAAGTGAGTGAGTGATTTGGTTTTAGTTTTGAGTTTTAGCAATTTTCGAGCAATATCAAGGCAGGGGACACCAGAAATGGGCTTCACACATTTTGCCCATGTGGGGAATCGAACCTGGGTCTTTGGCGTGATGAGCGAATGCTTAAACCACTAGGCTACCCCACCGCCCCGAGGAATGTAATAACATTCAGTGGTATATTCTAACTGTGCCCAGATTGTGATCCTACCTTCCTGTACATGTCACTCAGCATTATTTTCAGCAAAAACCAATAGTCAGTATGGTGAGAATGAAGGTTAAAATTAAACACAAAAGCTAACCTAGTCCATGTAAAAATAAAATATAATGTTAAAACAATGGGGAAATTAGTAAATTTATACTTGACCGCAGGAATTTGTACTGGCCTTACACTAGTGACCTTGTGTAAAGTACTAGCCCTGCAATTGGCATACAGCATTCTGACGTACCTCTTTGTATGATGAAATCATTCTCTCCACAGCATCTGCGGTGTTGATGAGCAGGTTACGGGCAGTGGTGAAGGATCGTGTCCTCTCACTAACACCTCCATCGGGATCGTCATCTACTTGTGTGCCTAACAACAAAAGGAACAATACATTACAATACTCTCACCTATTTGTCCGAATGATGCAACAATAAAGTCACAAGGCTCTGTAACTTAACTGAATTATGAATGAGTGAGTGAGTTGTGTTTAAGACTGCTGTGAACAGCATTCCAGTTACATCAATCCACGTTAGTTTTATGGGTGAGGAAAGCCTGAAGTTATGCAGGTCTTAGACAATTACCACTTTCGCGAAAACCATAAGCATGCTGCGTTCGAAATAATCGCCGTCCCGGAGGCCCAGCGCCGGTTGTTTGTATCGGGACGGCAATTTGAAATATTTGCAGGCCCCAGTGTCCTTCAGTAAATTATCTGTAATTTTTGTTTCAACTATAATCTTTCCCATGTTTTTCTTTATTAACGTTTGGGAATCATCCATGATCTATCATGTTACGATAACTTACAGTTCCACTTCCTGGTATTTCAGAGCTTTGCGCATACTAATGTCAACACCAGTCCTTAACAAATAAAGACGCCATAGGCTTTGCTAATTGATTTTGTAGAAACAGTGTGAAACTGTGTACAGTGTAGTCTTTTTTGTTTTTATTGGTTGACTTTAACAAAATGGGCCTGCAGATTTTAAAGCCTGCAGGCCACAGCAGGCCCTGATGGTCAACTGGCAAATTAAAGCATTGCAAACACTGTGAGCATGAGTATGATGCAGACAAACCTAGAAACATCATGAGGATGAACCGGGATTTGAACCCACAATCAAGACACACCAACTGTACAACATTGACTGTTGACAGGGCCACCCATGCACATTAGGCCTTGCAGTTTTAGATATCAAAAGTGAAGAAAAACTAGGAAAATGAGGGCACAACATTATGGTCAGATGTCATCTGATAGTCTGAGGTTGTATTTGATGATGACTCACCAAAAAGCATATGTATATTATATAAATTTTTCCGTACACCACATACCTTATGCATATCACATTGAATAATGATGCAGCCACAAACTATTGTATTTCTTTCAAAATGGCCACCGTAGAATTGACCGTCAAATTGTCAAGACACAACCTCACTTGATTTTCAGTTGGTGTGTAATGTCTTGAAACTTCTTGAAAGTTTTCTACACTGTCATGATCAGCATAACATTTAATCATCATCATTCACCAATCACAATTATATCGTTTTAAACTAGTTTTATGTTCTAAAAGATTTCCATCTTACCATCAGCACGAATCCCTGTTGCGGTGATGATAGGAACTGCGACCATGACAAGCCCACTTGCGCTCCACACATACTTCATGAGAAACTGCTCCAGCATGACGTACCAAAGCCTCTTGTAGTAGATGGTGTCCATCTGGCTAGCCAGAGACATATAGCTCTTTTCTAAGTGCTTCTTTTCAATCTGTAACCATGGTAAGATGGAAAATGACACAGAGTGAAAAAACTTGGTTAATACAAAAAAACAAACTATGATGACAGTTCTGCAATTATTGTTTCCAATAGTGCCAGAAGCATTCAAATGTTATTGTAGGTTTAAAATTCCTTGAGCTTTTAGTTTCAATTGACATGTCTAAAATATGTTTCCGGTGACTGAAGGCACCCTAAAAGTCACAATATTTAATAAACAATGGCTCAATAATGTTGATCATACACAACGCCTGAAATGAAAGTTACAAATACGTGTGAACATGTGTCATGCACAGTATGATTCACAAAGTCAACTTAGGTATGCAGAAAACGAAAATGGGTACGATCACCTAGTTTCTATCAAGAATAAGAATCGTTCCTCTAGTTGGCACATTTGAATTGTGTTAATTTCACCGTGTGTCCAAAGGGCAAATCCATATGAGTGTTCCGTGGCACACTTTTCAAAAAATACATTTCTATCCCTATCAATTAGTCTACCATGTCTGCCATTTTGTCCATTCATTACTATGCAATTCATTGCTATTCATGTATGTATTTCCTGTACCTAATAACATATATGTTCCCATTGTCAAGAATACAAATAAAGTTCAGCAACGTTAATAAATCTAATCAAACCAATATGGCTGCTGTGGTAGTCATATTTGATGAAGGATCACTCCGAACAGTTTTAAATGAATAATTTGTTCCAGAAAGAAGTAAAGCCACCTTAATTAGCATCAACAGTCCTACATTTTTACACAATGTATTGGTTGGCATGCTGGATGTAGCTACAAAGGTTAAATAATTTGGCTCTTTCAAAAAAATACATACTGCATGAGATTCTTGAGAGGCATTTAGAAGTTGGTGAATATATAAGACGAGCATATAGATGGCAACTCCTTGTTTATTGTATAACACTACATTTCTGGGCTACTTCATGCCCATTCTTCAGGTGATTGCCCCTTCTGTCACCTGAAGAAGGGACAAGAAGTAGCCCAGAAATGTAGTGTTATACAATAAACAAGAAGTTGCCATCCATATACTCGTCTTATATACATACTGCATGTTTTGAAGCACTGGCAGAAGAGGGGCGGTGGGGTAGCCTAGTGGTTAAAGCGTTCGCTCATCAGGCCGAAGACCTGGGTTCGATTCCCCACATGGGTACAATGTGTGAAGCCCATTTCTGGTGTCCCCAGCCGTGATATTGCTGGAATATTGCTAAAAAGCGGCGTAAAACTATACTCACTCACTGGCAGAAGAAGTATCCTGTGAAAATGATGAAAAATTTGGTTCACCAAGAACATTATAAGTTTTAGTACCTTAGCATCTGTATTAACCCTTCATATTCATGATAGCTGCAGTGTTTCCTTTGAGGTTTGTCGGTACATTATATCCTGAAATCCATTTGGACAACTATTTGTCACAGTAATCAGAGAGTATCATACACCACAATCAATGTTTTCATTAATTGCAGTTTCTGTAATGAATTCCTTATAAACTTCAACATGGCTGCCACAGAGGCCATTTTATTGACTTTTTTACACTAAAAACAAAATAGAACCATTATCATTTCTGCAAACACTCAGTCACTGCAGAGAAAAAGTTGAAAACATATAATGATGATGATGATTACATCCTCATTATCTAACGAACTGATTAATTGCTGACAATGCATATGGGGCAGTGATAGACTCTTGTATCAGTTATATAATCAAAGGGGCATTTTATATGCGGGATAACACTTTTTCAATAAATTACAGAGTCTAGTACTTTTGTGGGGTTGAGTCCCATCTGGGATTTGAACCCATACTTTCAGAGTCGGGCACCTAATTGCCAGCACACGAAGTCTGTCGTCTAACCCACTCAGTCATCGCAGCTTCCACAAAAAAGCATTATGCATTCATTTTATATGGTTAATACAAAAAAAATCAGTAGCCCCTCATGATTTGACTAGGTTTACTTCTTACCATGCTTATGATATTTAAAGCTTTGGATTTTCTAATCATAAATACTGCTTTCAAACAAGTATATCATTTTCAATTCACACATAAGAAGTTTCCAGTAATCAGGCTAACCATTCATTAAACATGTTAAATAGATAGCAAGGCCAAATGGCTTTATCATGTTTATGCATTCCATGGAGAAGCATGTAACATGTCTCAACAAGCTCAATTATGTTCAAATTATAATGAATTCCATGTAAATTAACATGATACCATATGTTCATTTCTGTTTGAACATTGACCATTTCAATCTGTGGCCAGACTTAACCTCCCTGGTCTAGTAATTAACACATGCACACACGTGTGCACACACACCTTTTAACTTTCCATGTTCAGTGAAATATGAAAACATCTCAGATGTTTTGTCTCACTTTTATATATTGAAGGCTTTTCTGGAATTTCTTTACACAAATTCACCACTGTATAACTATAAAACATAACCTCAGAATATAAGACACCCATGAAGATCTGGGTTAGAATTGGTCATCATCAACCCATGCTTGTTGTAAGAGGCGACTAACAGTACGGGGTGGTCAGGCTTGCTGACTATGGTTGACACATGTCATTGTGTCCCAAATGTGTAGATTGATGCTTATGATGTTAATCACCAGATTGTCTTGTCCATATTCAATTATTTACAGATCACTACTATATAGTATAGGGGGGAATATTGCTGAATGCAGCATTAAATAACAAGCAAAAAAAATAAAAAATAGAAAAAGAGTGCATGTATATCGTGGTATTGTGGTAGTATACACTGATAGAATTTATAGTGCTAGCCCACTGAGATACCATGCCGCAGTGAAGCATGAATACCCCACTCAGACACATTATATTGACTCCGTGCCGACCAGTCCTTGTTGTACCCATTAATGCCGAGCACCAGGCAGGGACCAACAAGTACCATATTTTAACGTCTTTTGGTCTGACGTGGTCGGGGGATAGAACCCGCGACCTTCCGCTCTCCAGGCGGACGCTCTAACCACTATACCACGGAGGCGTTCTACACTGATAGGACAATGTAGTATTAGTAATAATGATTGAGTGGTGTTTAGAATGAACACCTGCATTTGTCATTATACTAAAATGCAGGATTGTTTACACTTTCATGTGTATGATTAACACCACGTCATTGGAACAGCTCCAGTGACAATAAAGAGAATGGAAACATTCTGACATTATGCCAATATCTATGAAACATATCTTGAAAACATGCACTGATCATGCTGATACTAAATCATATTTGTAATATATATCCCTGATCAGTACGCACCTGGATATTTATGTAGCAATAATATAGCTTTTATAAATCATGATATATGGTATTGTTAAAATATTCTATGTCCTCTAATTTCTTTACAATATTTCATCCACTACAGACTGATTTACAAATCATTCAACATGTCAAAATTACAAGTAAACATGGTAAAAGAAATCACATTCCATAATGTTGACAGGAAATTATTCTTTCACACATTTCAAATGTTTTTTGCTTGAACAGTTGTACATTTTCTAGAGGAAATTAACCTGAAACATTAATCCTGAAAAAATATGAAAAACTTGTAGCCAAAATCTATTTGCAGCTACTTAAAATATTCTTAAAATTTTAAGGCTCCTAAGTATCCAATATCCAGCACATATATAAAATCCTCATTACATTTCATGGACCCAAATCATGAAAATGTCTGATGAGATGAAGTTGACAAACTTGTACTTCAACAGACCCGTGAAGGTCTGGGTTAGAATGAGCCTTCAGTAACCCATGCTTGTTGTAAGAGGTGACTAACGGGATCGGGTGGTCAGGCTCGCTGACTTGGTTGACACATGTCATTGGTTTCCAATTGCGCAGATCGATGCTCGTGCTGTTGATCACTGGATTGTCTGGCGCAGACTCGATTATTTACAGACCACCGCCATATAGCTCGAATATTTCAGAGTGCGGCTTGAGCCACCTTGTATTTACCGTAGTCATTATGGTTATAGTCCTGGATGAGGTCAGGTGAAATTGGGTTTAACGTCGTGCTTGAGCATATTTCGCTCATATGACGACGTGCATGCGTGTGTATGTGTATGTTCGGTTGCTTGTACTAGCCCAGACTGAAGCTGGTCTATAGTGCTAGCCCACTGGGATACCATGCCGCAGTGAAGCATGAATACCCCACTCAGACACATTATACTGACTCCGAACCTACCAGTCCTTGTTGTACCCATTAATAACGAGCGCCAGGCAGGGACCAACGTTACAAGTACCATATTTTAACGTCTTTTGTATGACGCGGTCGGGGACCGAACCAGCGACCTTCCGCTCTCCGGGCGGACGCTCTAACCACTACACCACGGAGGCGGTCTGGAATGAATCCTGGGGTTAGTGTAGGTTTACTAGTGCTGGTTATCTCTCACAAAAAATATGAGCTCAGTAACCCATCAATAATTGATTGTAATTGTAAACAAATTGACGAATCCATGAATGAGTTAAGAATACGAATCGATTACGTTTCAGTTATGATGCCTAAGAATGCACTACCATTCTGTTATGAATTAACACTAATAACAGTTCAAAACTTTTGCCACAAATTCCCGATTGCTCAAGAATTGCAAGAACTGACTATGACTATATGTGAATTAGTTAAGAACTTCACGAAATGATTACGATTCAATTACAAATCCTCAAATTTGTCAATTCGTGGCGATTTATGGGATTCGTGGTCTGTGTGGAATAGGGGCATTACACAGCATGTCTCAGATTTTTCAAAATAAAGAAAAATATGCAAACAATGCTGAACAGATGTTCCTGTTTTCCACAGTCATAATACTGTACCAAGACAAATGGTATTGTACTTTAAAAGCAAGCATCATGAACATGCTAATCCGGGACTTGAAGCAATATCAATATTATCATGACAAGAAAGGTCTGGCACAGCTAAGGGACACATCTTGGCACAACAAAATAAATACTGTAGGAATAAAACGTCTTCCAATACCACACGCAGTATAACTGAATCTAAATGATAGACTGGACCAGATAAACAACTGCTTGATATCAATTTACAGGGTAGGTTGACATGTGTTTATCAAAGTCATCAAACTGAACATTTGACCCTCTTAGATACCTCTTAGCACCATCATAGGCTGCTTGGAGACATAGCCCTACCCAGAATGCCAAAGAGATTACTTCTGCTAAACATTAGGGCTGCAACGAATACACTATGTAGCGAATATGATACGTATCATGAATAATGGGTAACGAATATGAATAATTATTTAAGAATACAAAAAAATATTGTAGTTAAGTGATTGATGTACAATATGGAACGCCCATGTTGACAGTCTTGTTTTGTCACAGTGATCTCATGACACTCAAATTTCATATGTAATAGTTATAGTCGACAGTACCATGTGCGGCCTTGGCAAACTAACATGACTTGCGCTACTGCAATGCTAGTACATATTCAATCCTTTCATATCTCACTTTCCAAACGTGCACAAGGGTTCAAGTAAAACATGCTCCCTTAAAAAAATCGTAAATATTCGGTTCTGGTGACCACGAATAACGATATTGATTTCATGAAGGGCTACGGTTCGATTCACCGAATATGCGAGTGAATCGTTACAGCCTTACTAAACATAGTAGATTATTTGTAATGTAGTTATCAAACACCATTTTGAACATGGAGTCACACATGTTTAAGCAATGTAGCAATCATGAGCGATTATTACCTCATTTTTTTTAAACAAAAACCATCCAGCAAAACAAAGTTCCAAATTCCAAGCATCCATGGATGTCATTGTGCAGCTGTAGATAACAATCCCTTAGCAAAAGCATACGTGAAAGAGGCCTGATTCTAATAAACACTCAGATGACTCCATGAACATGCACAATTACAATGGACCATATACCATGTGTATACTTATATAACATTCAGAATACAGTAATCATGATTATAAGCATGATGGTTCAAATGTTAAGGGACCGTTCATAATTTAAGGCTGGGTGGTGTGTGTGTGTGTGTGTGTTGGGGTGATGATGACTTTACAGGTGGGGTCACCAATTTTGTTCTGGGGAGGTGGGGGTCTTCAATTTTGTACACACGTACTGGGGTGGGTGGGTGGGACTCATCAATTTTGTACATTTAAATATTAAAAAATTATGCTTATGAAAGGGGGTGGGGTGGTAATTGATTTTGTACATGACATGCAGGTGGGTCACATACTTTGTGCATACATTGGGGGTGGGGTTGGGGGTGTCATTGTGTCATAAAAATCATCCACCCCCAAAAAGCCAAAACTTATGAACGGTCCCTAATGTAGCAATGTTTTACCTGATGTCCGGCATAGAATGCAATTTCTTCTGCATTTGTTATAATTCTTGAGTGAACATAGCGAAGGTATCCTTTGCGTTTTGCTTCCTCAGCAACTAGTTTTCCAAACTTAGGCGACATTGCCCTCAGGATTTTTGCAGTGACAACAATTGCAGTTGTTCCTACAATGACTGGTATTCTGGAACTAGCTCCTCGGCTGCTTGCAAGTTTGGAGAGGGTCAAAGACATTAAACATACATCCAAAAAGGGTTTTGTCAAATGCGAGTACAAATGAGCCAGTGAGGTGGTAAATGATGTAATATCTTCTGTTAGACACTGATCTGCATTTGACAGACGACTGTCCAGGTTACTCACTCGGTAGTAGGTCTGATTGTTAAAATACAATCCATATGCATGGTTCACCAATTGTGATCTAAACGACAGTGCAAGCTTGCTCTCCAAATACCGAATCAAACTGTTCACAAAAGTAGCAGGGACAGCAATCAAAAGCCATTTGCTTAGTTGAAGGATGAATTTCATGACATCTCTCTGTACAATTGTCTTGACGAGGCTTCCATCCAAAGACGCTACGTATATGGACAAAAACGTCCTGGTGATCAAACTGATGCTGTGTAATATCAACAAGGCAGACTCCTTGCTCCATAACTTTGGAATGATAATTTTTAAGAGATATTTAAGCTGCTTGAAAAATCTTCTATCAACCGCTATTCTTTTCTTGGCTGGTTTATTGTTTTGGTCTGAGACGCCATTCAATCGCACAATTTCTGAACAATCATGGGATTTGCCCTTGATGCCTGTAGCTTTGGCTAGAAGAGGATAATATCGCTTAGCTCCGTAAGCAGCAATTACACACAAAATTGCTCCAGTAGCAAGCTTCTGTTTTGTTATCTTTGCCTTCACGGCTGCATCCCATAATTTAGACATACCACTCATCGAACCACCAGTCTCGTGGCAAATGAACTACCGTTTCAGTAGTTGCAGACGTATATTAATGCGTGACAGCCGGCCATCTTTAATCGCACGTGAATTTTCACGACAAAGCGAGACTTTGTACCAATACATATCGTGTTAGCCTAACGACTGCTATTATTCAGGTAGACTGCAAATAAAAAACAAATATCTAAAATATTACAATTTTGCTCAACACGTGTTTATACGAAATGTGAATAACTAAAAAGGAAATTGCTTATTTAACAATTATACATTTTACAATATATTATTACTCTTTAACATTTTACTTGATCTAGCTGAAAAGCTGGTTTTCCATCTCTAATTGTTTTGGAAAACACTGAGCGCTAAAGCGTCGTCTGCTAGGGATCAGCCGAAGTTCATTGATCCTCAGTTCATTAGATTGTATGACTATCAAATTAAAAAGTTGACAGTCAGCACCAAATCGGTGTTGTGATTTTCTTCAGTAATGAATTGGGTTGGAGGGGCAAGGAAAAGGGTGAAATTGCAAGGAGAAAAAAGACTCCAGAAGGTTTTGATAAGTCCACAACAGCTATTTTTTTCTGTTGATGTTGAGAGGATGTTTATACGTTAATACTTATATTGTATGGTGTTGGATGACGAATTGAAATTTTCGAACTTCAACGTTTATTTGATTCGACAAGATTTGCCTATGGTTCAGGGTGATTATTTTGTAGCCCTATTGCGTATGCAAGTTTGTAATCATGATAATTGGCATGGACATAATATTATATTGTTGAACTAAACGGAAGCATGACAGTAGTTATTAGATGTGTAAGTCTGTGCAAGGAAGAAAAATGTAATAATCTTTCCATCTTGAATCCACAAATTGGCCAGACATTCACTTGTTGGATCATGGCATGATCAAATGTTAGTGGATAATTTATTACTTTCCGAGAGTGAAGACGAATCTTGATTTTGTACGTGAATCTAAACACTATCTTACTCCTGTTCCATTCAGGAATATACGTTCCCTATGCTCATTCAATTCATTGGCAGTCATAGCCAATAGCCGCCATACAGCTGGAATATTGCTTATAAATCTAAACTCACTCTCTCATAACCAATATTATTCAAATTGTCATAAACCCACTGTTTAGTAACATCTATTTTATGATACATATTGATCCAGCAGTTAACATTTACTGTAACAGCAGAGAGAAAACTTATCTATGATATAACATTAATTACTGTTTTGACCTTATTTGGAAACACTCAGATCAGATCTCGATCTTTAATTTGGATTGTCTATTTCTCCCCACAATACATATAAATTGGTCAAGTGGTATATATATGTAGTACAGTTCTGCCTACCTTACTGTATACAGCAGATAATGATTAATGTCATTATTGTTTTCCATTTAAATCATGCATTTGTTGAGACCTTAATCACTTAATCTATTGTTGATTTAAGGAATTCTTTGAAAGGAAAAGACTTCAACCAAAACCACGGAATCAGTTTCGAGGATCATCTGCTGTGAAGAATGGTGCAGTTAGTCGTGATCTCCTGGCTCTGCAAACAGTTAGCAGGATACAATATTCAGATCAAGGTCATAGTGAGTGAGTGAGTGAGTGAGTGAGTTTGGTTTTACAACTCTTTTAGCAATATTCCAGCAATATCACAGCAGGGGACACCAGAAATGGGCTTTACACATTTGTACCCATGTGGGGAATCGAAACCTTGGTCTTCGGCGTGACGAGAGGTTGCTTTAACCACTAGACTGCCCACCGCCTCCAAGGTCATATGTCATTTAGTATCAGTATCAATAACAGTTCTGTACTGCTGCCAGTTTAATATGTGAATAAATGCTTATTTATGTTACAGTTCTTATGAAATGTTTGGTGAAGGTATCTGCATTAATTTAACATCATAAATCATAAACATTTAAAGCCAGGAAACTTAGAATATATTAGATTCAAGCTGAGAATGTTGATACAGAGTGATGGTGATAACTGTAACACCTAATTGTTTTGTCAAAATCCTGCTGTTACAAGGTATGACACAGCAAGGATTCACTGGTATGACAATTGTGAAAATCTGGAAGATTAACCAATGGTGTCAAAGACTATCTGCTCCTGTAGTGAAATTGTTCCTTTGTTCTAATTTGCTCCAGGAGAATTTTCCCATGGAACTCTTTTTAGATCCATGAAACATTAACATGGGCAATATTTATTCCAGATGGAAATAATTCCATGTGGAACTGGTCATTTGGACTCCCCCAAACGAATCTAATCAATAAGAAACAATAAACATGAAAATGTACAATGGAAGTATTTCAGGAGTTTGGAGATTAATGTTGTGGAAATTCTAATGAAGTTGAATGTCTACTTTTATTCTTTTGAATGTTCATTTTGTTGCAGATCTTTCTAAACCTGTGAGAAAATTAGATTTAGATAAGTTCAAGTCAACTGTCTGTGGTCGAAAACACAATGAAGTTGAACTTCCACCATCTCCAAATGAAATACCATCAATGATTAGCCTGTTTGAACAAGGATGTTCATCAAACACAACTGGAACCTACAAAAGGTCAAACTCTGCTTCATTTGTTTAGGCCAGATCAGTTTGTTTTCATGTTCCACAGAAACTATACCTTTAATTAGTAACCATTAAATATGCTAATACAGTGTTTGATTATTAGCATGCTCTTTTTAGTTCACCAGACTTTATGTCATTGCAAGTCTGTCATTGTCGTTCATCATAAATCTTATATTTTTTTTCTGCTCCTAAATGATTTGATGAAATTATGATCGTTTGAAATTATGTCATTACTTAGTTCATTTGTGTTAACAAAGTGTGATCCATTAATTTAGTTGACTTGGACCTTCACTAGAGTCTGAATAAGTATCTAAAGTTAAAGACTTTGAAATGTTAATAATTACCTATCTGAACAATTATGGTTAAATGTAAGTGCTCAGAAAATTTCTCCATAGATATGCATGTTTGCTTTCACAGATTACCATCTTCCTCTTCCAAAGCAAGTTCCTTCTGTCCAAGGATCACATCAGGTTCAGAAGTTGACAGCAGTTCCTCTTCTTCTGGGCGATCTCATCTCTCATCTGTCAGATGGCAAGGAAATGACAGACCTTTTCCCCACATGTCATCTCAACACAAGATTTCATACAGCAACAAAAAGAGTTTGGATCCCTTTGATGAAGATTTTGTCAGAGTTTCAAAAGTTAGTTTTCAAAACAACATTAATTTCATCTTAGGTTCAGATTTCCAAATAGGGAGGGTTTGAAACCAATTTCATCACTTGCCCCTTGAGCTAAGGAACAAAGACATTCTAAGAATCTAGTATCTGCCTGTTTGCAGAGGAGAGATTCATTCTTTAGTGTAAAACAACTTGAAATGGACCTGCTTGTCCTCTTATTAATGTTGGAATAGCCTTATTCATTCATTATTTGTATTGACACTTGCAGAATGTCAGACCAGCGCCAGACTTATTCAAGTCAGAGAAGCCTTTCATCAAAACCTATGAATCTAAATGTGACAGGTCTCACCCAACAAAATATGACAAGAAGACATCATATAAACACACCATTGCTTCAACACAAAACCAGAACACTTTACACAAGATGACTTTGGATCCCACGGTAGTTGAAGATTTCTGTGCTACACCTTTAGTGAGGTATGACACTGGCCAGAAGAAAGCAGGCAGACTGGCATTTCCTGGTGGAGATGCTTACAAGTCCTTAACTGACAGATGTTATGTATCTGAACAGTCTAAGACAACATCTTCACATCGTCATAAATTCCAGTGCAAGGATGATGGTTGGAGCTCAGACAAAGGACATGGCAACCTGGGTTTACAGTCTTGTGGATTGTCACTAGATCCTGATAGAAGCACAGCTGCAGGGAACAGCTTACAAGATGATGTATATGATGGCTACATTGAGAACCGATTCAAGGATTTCAAACCAAATAAGGAAATGAAAGAGAAGGGAAAGTTACGAAAACGTCAAGAAATGTTTTCCTTCTCAAAGTTGGAGAAGAGTTGTTTTGACATGGAGAGCAGGAAGTCCCAAACCATGAGACCATCATCACCACCATCACTTGCCAGACAGAATTTGCTTGATCTATTCAAGAAAAGGGACATGAAAAATACATTTTCACAATGTTTGGATTTAAAGAGAAATGACATAATACCAAGAGAGTCTTATGGATCACAGATATTGACGGATTATGATCTGATATTGTCATCCGGTGCAAATGGAGATAGGTATGTCAGTCAATAGTATACATTAGACCAGACATTTTTGTTTTGATTTTGAGGCATTTTGAACAAAATAGAACTTGTCTTTTTAATCTTGTTTTTTCTAATATTGTTATTTTAAACCAAGAGACCAAAAATGTATAGCTTTATGGATTTGGAACACATGTGATACAATGTTGTACAGTAAACTATGTTTTTAAATATGCTTTTAAACAATAAGCATAGTTATTTTTTAACTTGAGTCACGTGTCAAAATATCCTCTAGTAAAATTTTTTGTAATCAGCAGAAAAACAGTAAATACGTGTGAAGTTAGTTCCCCACAAAAAGCAGAAGTGCTCCTGAGTCCCAGTTTACCATATCTGGAAGAGGAACGTTCTTTCAAGGTCAGCGGTTGTTGAAATGTTATGTCTTCTTGCATTATATTCAAAGGGCAACTGTTAATACACCACTTGAACTAGCATGTCCACAGTGAAACCTTGATTTCATGAACTTGGAAAATGTTATATATATATATGGCCTATGATGACTTTGTTTACAGTCAGGGTAAAAAAGTTGGATTCATCATAATTTGAATATATTCCTGATCCAAAACCAATAACAGAATCAGATTATGATATGCTCTAAGAAAAAAGGATACTTTATGGATAACAACCTCTTTATTATATATGAATCTGTACCAAAATGTGACATCATGTATAATAAAGAAGTTGTTATCCATAAAGTATCCTACTTTCTTTATTACTCACCAAGTTCTAAAATGCCTATCAAACAGATCAGATATGCTCTAAATGGGGACTATGCTTGGTGCTTGTTACAATTTCCAGACTAGGTCCAGATGATAAAAGGTGAGAATGTATGGATATCAGCTTCTTTATTATGAGGAACATAATGAGTATATTCTTACTCCTTCACCTACTCCAAATGTTATGTTGCTCATAATAAAGAAGTGGATATCAATAAGTTCTCACTTTTTATGTGTATCACTTCTAAATGCCATTCTAAGACTTTAGATGTAGGTAATAACTATCAAATAAAATGTTAGTTTTGAGATTAACAAAGTTGTTTTAAATAATGACTACGGTAAATACAAAGTGGCTCAAGCCCCTTAAAGATAATAGTGATACTTATGAAGTGAATAGATGAATATACATCCACACAAATATGTTCATCATTCAGTCATATGGTAAATCTATGGTTTCATGTACACCACTGGCCTTGAATTCACAATAAAAACTATATGAGATCAAACTGACAATGTTAATGTTCTTTTACTGTATGTTAATGTAGACTCTTAACTCAATGGTATGATGAACTGTTCTAAATACATCTCGACTGACCAGATTTCTTTGATTATAGAAATGTCAAATCTAGATATCTAAAATAGTACTATAGAAGATTACGAATAGCAGTTGCAGGTTGAGTAAGCTAAACTCAATGCATGCAAATACAATCTTCTCACAAAAAAAGAAAAATATGCAACATAAAGAATTTCATCGATATTTCATCAATTTGTTTTGCAATTCTCAACAAACTGAAGTGTATTTGCCACAATAGTGACAGAAATTTTGATTGTACAGCTACTCAACTTAAATGTTTTCCAATGTAATGTAGGGTGATCATAGAGATCCCAAGCCTTCCATACCATCTACAGAGTCCTCTACCTCCAGCTGTAGCCAAGTCAAACATTACAGTGTCCAAGGTAACCCATCTACAGAGTCCTCTCCCTACAGCTATAGCCAAGCCAAGCATTACATTATCCAAGGTAACCAATTTGTAGCCAACCTTCTAACAGAAATATGGTATTAATATCTGTGTGAAGCCTTGAGAAGAAATGTCATTATAGCGTTTTTATATTTGGGAGTGCTGATTATGAATGACATTGTGTATTCATAGAAATAGCATTAGTTTAACATTTGGTATGTTTGGGATTACAGTTTCTCAGTAAAGTACAGATTCTAATACTTTTGTTTGGTTGAGTCCCATCCGAAATTCGAACCAACACTCTCAGAGTCATTCCAGATGTGACTCAACCTGACAAAGTACTAGAATCTGTACATTATTGAGAAAGTGTAATCCTATATATAACATATGTTCCATTTGACCACTTTCTAAATGGCATTGTGTATTCATATCATTAGTTTATCTCACAGTCTTGAAAGTTTTCCACCACATAAAAGTTTGTATGGATAAAGAATTAATTTGTAAATTCCTCATGCTAAGTTAGGACATGTCACTCAATGTTTCTTCATATATCATATCTTCATCTGTTTGTCAGGTTACATATCTAGTGGGGAAATAGAAACAGAACCATGTTTTCTACTAAAGAACATAATTTGTATTTTCAGAAGGGTTAAAGAATCAGTGTTTCTTTCATAAATTCTTCGGACTCGATTATTTACAGACAGCCGCCATGTAGTTGGAATATTGCTGAGTGCGGTATTAAACAGCCAGCCAACCAACATATGTTACATTTGAGTACTTTCTAAATGGCATTGTGAATTCATTTAATAAATTCTGTTCTCACTTACAGATGAGTTATCAGATTTTGATTGGGAATCACATGGTTCTTCAACAGTTTCTGCTGGTAACCAAGCAACAAACAAAGACAGGCATGTTTTCAGTTGTATTAGAACTGTTCAACCTTTCTGTATGAAAAAGTATTAAGCTGACACCATTTATTTTGTGGCTGCGCAATGTAACACATATAGAGGCAGTTTGTGATAGGATTGTATGCGACACATATATTTTCTAAATTTGGAAAAAATCTATTACTTTAAAGATAAGTCTTTGAAATACTTAACCTTGTGAAAGTATCTTTGGAATCAGTTTTTATTGGTAACAAAACACTAAAGACCACCTTTAAAACTTAAGCATCACATAATTCATGTTTCTGTAATTTTCAGATTCAAAGCATCAAGAATCAATGAAATCTTTGAAGAGGTTTGTAGTATTTAATGTATGAAAGGAATCTTCATGACAGAATTGCCTTAATATATATTGCTGTTTTATGCTGTAGCTGAGTTCTACATATCAAACCTATCTTATTTCTAGATGAAACAACTAGAAAATGAATCAGAAGATGAAACACATGGACATCAAGATGCAAACCAATGTAAGATACATCTAATATTCTTTCTAATTCTTTTGTGTATATTCAGTGTTAAAGGTATTTTGACTAAATCAGTATCATTCAACATGTTATATTTGTTTGTCCATAAGAGGTAAACAGATGGGTGACTGCAGAGAAAAACGGGTTCTTTTCCCTGAACAATTAGCAACATGTAATTCTATTTTCATGCTTTATATAATTATCAGAGTGTGATAGTTGGTTAATCAGTCATTTTTAATAAGAGTAGTGAACAATAATCATTTCAATATTTAACCTTAATTTCTCATTTTAAAGGATTACCAACATACCTCAGAGTCAGCAATGTGTCACATTCATAGTTTGGACATCATGCATATTTATTTTTGTGTGCCTACATGCTAAGTGTAACAATGATGTTTCTGTATTACTTTACAGACACAGCTGTCACACCAACTGACATATTACGGTCCAAGAGACAGGAGGTTTGTATTGGGAACATTATTTCTATCATATATACAATATATACACAAAATACAAAACAATTTTGATACCGAGATCAATAAATCAATTAAATGTGATAGCCAGTTGTAATGAATATTTTTTCATGCCTATTATTTTCAAACTAGTTTGAGAAATTTGGTGTCATAGATCACCTTCATTGTCATTGTATGTAGTTCATTTTTCTCGAAGTTAGATTACAGGATAAGTCACTCTGTAGGTAATGATGTCTAATTACATCCTGAGGTTCAACTTGAAACCTGTGTTTTAAAAATGTTAAAAAACCTAACCCAGACAAACAAGCAAAATTTAAGAAATTGCTTTCAAGAGACCATAAGACCTGATAACATAAAACATCAGTATGTGAAGCCACACAACAGGCTGAGACCATGTCAATGGTTGAAGGTGTCAGAATTGAAAATACAAATATTTTCAAGATGTAGAGATTGGGGACAACATTATTTTTCTGAAACCAAACAAACAATAGGGCTTAGCATTGATGAGCTTATGAATAAACTAGGTATTTTATACTAATTCTCCTCCAGTAAAATAATGGTACAATGTATCTATAAGCATCAGAACCAAGGGCATTACAGTTGAACCTAACTTATGCAGACACTTGTATTTCTCAGATGTTTTCCTAATGAGTATATTTTCGGATATGCAGAGGAACACACAGGTCATTAGCAAGATTCAGTGAATATGACTTCAACAGATCCTGGCAATAAGTCACCCGTCACATTCGAAACATGCATTGAATCCAAAAATGACATGCGATAATGACAGGTTAGGATTAATGACTTGGAAATTGGTAGAATAAATATGAACTTACAGTGCCATTGTATACCTCTATAAGGTAGACATGATTTGTAAAGAAAATTAACTTTTCTGTATTAAATAGTATTGTTGATTAACAATTATTTGGAGTGAAACTACTATTGTCATTACATGTTTCACCTGTCTCTGAGTAGCTGAAAACCAGACAATTAGTGATATCAAATCCTGTTTATAGGTCAGGGTGTTATTTCCCACTTATCAGTGTGAAAGATTAACAGTGTAAATCATGAAAATTAAATCATTCTCAGTCCTGATGAGTTCTTTTGTCATCATTAATATGTTAATGATTGTGAACATGATGATGGTTTAATTACCAGTAACACATATGCAGTTTGATGTGTGTTATTTTTGCTACAGGATGCTGTAGAAGCTGATTCAATGAGTGAGGACCAGCTGGTGGTCAGCCAGGTGCTACAGGAACTGGTACACAAGGTCGTACTTCAGGACTCACAGACTGTCACACACACCTACAGCTCCAGGTTTGCTCTCCCGTCAAAGGCAATCACTTCTGCCCCGTGGAAGAGCTTCAAGTCAATATATGCTCACAAATCAGCAAGAACTGAACAGGGTAGTCTTTATATGCTTAGACAGGCGCCCATGAACTGCCATGATATTTCTTCTTCTCAAAAGGTTATTGCATTGGTTGGTACATCAGGTCAAAACCAGTCTGTGAAAAATAGTGGCACACCCCAGTCATCAAAACAGGTGATAACATGTGTACTTAGTCCAGTTAACAACTGGAACAAACTGGACCTCATTTCACCAGTCAAAACATCATCATTAACACAGGAGTGTATCAATTCTTCAGCAACATCCAGTCTTCAGCCTAGCAGTATGGAAGGAAAGTTGTTGTCAGTGTACGAAGGCCTTATTACACCTCCCAAGACAGCCCAGGCAAATAAACCCAGGTCTGGAGGAATAATTGATAAAGGTTCTCAAGAAACACCTGTCACCTGGAACAAACCAATACTTCTGGAGATACCTACAGGAGACGTCACAAGGGATGGAACCCCTGATCACAGTCTCAAAGGGATTCATGTAGAAAACAAAAATGGTAAACCAGAAACTCCAGTCAAAGGTTCCTTATCTTCATCAACAACACCCGTAGCGTTTAGCATGAAGTTTAGGAAACAAACGCCTCACTCATCAGATTTGGCAGAGATGTTTCCTAGAAATAATGACAAGGAAACCTGTGACAGTTGTACTCAAACTGATTGTACAATAACATGTGATTTTGCAACATCTCCTGTAATATTCCCAACATCAGGTAAATGTGAAGCAGGTACGCAGTACGACATTGAACATGAGTTAGTGATGTTGAATGATGTTGAGATGACCATGGAGCAGGGAGACAGTATGGAGCTGATGGACTGTGTGGCGCAGATGGATGTGGTTCTGGGGGATAAACAGTGGACCATTAGTGACACCACATTGGACACTGGCTCCCAGACAGACGATGTCCCCAAATACTCCCTCAGATCAAGAAAACAATCTTCTTTTCCAGATAAAGTATAGTTTTGGTGTCAATGATATTGATCTTGACTTGAGATATTGTGCATGGAGCCAATGTGGTGCCACTAGAAGGGTCCCGTGGGGGAGATCGTGGACTTTGATAAATGCAACACACTTGGTCCCTTGGGAAGCCTTGTGGACTATTATGGCTTTTTGTGCATCATACAATTGTGAGTCTTCTGGAACTGCCAAATGGCTCTATATTTTGTTTCTGAAATGGTTCTTGAGGATGTAGTGAGTGTGAGTGAGTTGCAATTTAAAATCACATCAGCAGTAATTCAGCCATATTGTGATATTGAGGATGTATGTATAGTTGGTCATATTTGTATTGTTTTAATAGTGTGGCTCAGTATTTACACTTTTGATTTTGGAAAGGCCTTATGATCATTTTTTGCATCTTGTTCCTGACAGTGTGATAGATATTTTGCACAAGGTGCTATGAATTCAAAGGCTGTGTACATAATTTCTTATCATATTTGTTCTCTATCATTGTTACAGAGCCTTTTATGTATATGTTGTTTATGATACTTTGTCGAAGCAGTATATAAAGTGTTGAAATCCTGCAGTGGAGTTTTATCTTGTTTTTTGACTGTCTGGCAGTCTAACTATTATCCTTAGCAATAGCAGCACTGTGATTGTCATTACATCAATCCTCGTGGCTAACAAATACCTTAGACAGCTCAGAGAAATTGACTGGGTGGTTGAGTGGGTGAGTTTTACCCATTTTGGGGATTCGAACTGAGTGAGCGAGTGAGTGAATTTAGTTTTACGGCACACTCAGAAATATTCCAGCTATATGACGGCGGTCTGCAAAAAATCGAGTCTGGACCAGACAATCCAGTGATAAACAGGATGAGTGTCGTACTGCGCAACTGGGATACGATGACATGTGTCAACCAAGTTAGCGAGCCTGACCACCCAATCCCGTTAGTCGCCTCTTACAACAAGCATGAGTTACTGAAGATCAATTCTAACCCAGATATTCATGGGTGGATTCGAACTGGCGTCCTTGGTGCGATGAGCAAACACTAGGCTAATTAACCCACATCCCTGGAGTGAGGAAAGTAGAAAGTTCCAGTTGAAAGTGACAAACCTGTTTACTTCATACATACAGCTATTTCTGAAGCCAAGTATTTGACTGCTCTAAGAGTGTGAGTGAGTAAGTGAGTAAGTGAGTGGCTAACACATAGGACCCATGTGGGGATTCAAACTCAGGTGTGACAAGCAGATGCTTCAACCACTAGGTTACCCCACCATGCCTGAATGAGAGATGTCTCATAGAATTAAATACCCTGACTAATGCAGGTGCAACATTTGTTGGGACAATGTTTCAAGAAACCATTAGAGTGGCTCATTGTTTTTCAGGTGACTAAAAGGATCATGTGGTCAGACTCACTTACTTCCCAGCTGAATAGATCCATGCTCATGATGTTGATCACTGGATTGTCTGGTCCTGATTAATGTCATATTGGTGGAAAACAGGTAGAATATTGCTGAGTGTGGTTTTAAACAAACAAAAACGTCCTCAAATAACAACTGACAACATGGTTTTTGCTCAAAACTTTATTTGTATTTTGTCATGATACATACAACTTTCATTTGAGCACTTGCTTCATCACATAAAAACAGTTTCAACACAAATGAAGTTCATACACCAGTATATATAATATAATGTACACAAAAAGTATGTACCAGCGATGTCCTAGAGATAGCTATCACAATACATTTTAATTCAGTCTAACAATAACAACATACAGATATCAACGTGTCAATATGTTCCACTATCGTATTTGTACAGATATGATAAATATATATTGATACAGGTTATTTATATACTCTGTTGCAATAAAACATTCCCACAAACATTTTGTACATAACTCTTTAGTCATCAAGTTTACACTGATATATGACTGTAACACATGATCATAATGGTTACTACTCAAATTTCCTTGTCTGTCAACAGTTCAACACAAAATATATTTCATTTCCCTGTACAGCAATCTGTGACAAAACTGTTTAGTCTGTTAGCTTGAACATGGCTCTTTAGGTTAATTTAAGTAGGTTTTCGTGTTATCTCCTGTACTGTTCCTTGCTTATGTAGCGGCCATAAAATTTCCGAGTCCTGTGCTTGGATTCGAACCACGGACCTTCTGATCCGAAGTCGGACGCCTGTAAGGNTGTCCACATGACCTGTTTAAAGAGGTTAACCCCGTCAGCAAGCTGACAAGGTAAGGATGTCATCTGTTGGATGACTCCACGCCCTGCTACATACTCCCCCGCCAACAGAAGGCACGTCCCGAGCCGCATAGTTGGGTACTGAGACTTAATTTTGCTCAAATTTGATATGAACGTGCTCAGCCCCACGTTGAGCAGCATAGTTGGAGTATGTAGCGACCATAAAATTTCCTCAGCCCCTCTTGTGCTGGGATTCGAACCACGGACCTTCTGATCCGAAGTCGGACGCCTTGTCCACATGACCAAAGAGGTTAACCCAGTCAGCAAGCTGACAAGGTAAGGATGTCATCTGTGGGATGACTCCACGCTCTGCTACACTTAGCTCACTACACTGAACTGACTAGACTCATGCTTTAGACTAGACTAACATCTAGTCACTGAATAAACAGAAAAATAGGTTCACAAATTATGAGAAAATATATTGAAAAGAGCCCACAGACTTCCTGAAACTGGTAATCCAGACTTATCACATATTCTAGACTAGCACGGGCTGCAATTGATATATTTGTTTCAGGGTCTGTATGAAGTCTGGTGCTGGAATAACACTCTGGAACAGTCGTAATCTTCTGATAGAGAACATTTATTACTTTAGAGACCTGAAGTATTTAACCCTTAATATTAGTGTATCTTAACTTTAATTTCAAACATTGTACAGACATATAAACCATCTTGTTAATTGCTTGTTACATCAAAGACTAACAGACAGACTGACTGTTCACACGTCTTAAGTACACATACATCTGGTAGTAAGGCCATAGTAGTGGTCTGTCAACTTCTCTATGGTTCAACTCGGTATTAATACACTGTGCTTCTACAGGGGGCTTCTCTTACTGGACTGACTGACTGACTGAGTTTGGTTTTCGCCGCGTTTTAGCAATATTCCAGCAATATCCGCGGCGGGGACACCAGAACATAGGCTTCTAAAATTGTACCCATGTCAATCGAACCTGGGCCTTCGGCGTGACAGATGAATTTAACCACTAGGCTACCCACATCATCTGTAGGTAGGGATGAACATCTGTATCATCTGGGGACATAATTGGAAATAAATTACATTACAATATTGATTTCCACAAACAATTTCAACATTATTGTTACAGGTTTTAGTGAATCTTCAAAATGCTTTTATTCAAGTTACCATCAATATGGATGTAGTTTTCTTAAATACAGCCTATTCTGCTGTCAGACTGAAGCGGATCCTTAGAGTGTAGATAAGTGTCTTGGTGGTGCTGTGTTCGAGTGTGGCAATATTGTAAGGCAAGTGTGTACGATATCCTCTGGCTACAGATGTACAGAACCTTCAACTAGCACAACCTGTTTATCAGTTTTCTCTTTTTCCATATCAGCACCAGGTTATATTGCTACATTGATGTACTCATGCATGTAAATCTCACCAAAAATATGATCTTCAATACAATCATATAATCTAACACAGAGAGCAATGGTACTAGGGTTCTAAGTCCAAGATCGATACAAAATGTAGTTAAAAAAGTACACAAACCATGAATTGGATTAAAACATTGTCCAAAGGAACATTTCTGTGTGTTAAAGCTACACACACAGTGGCCTGAAATCATGTTTATCAGACTGGGATCGTAATCAGACCCATAAACCATCGCTATAGAAGTAACCTTAAAATGATGAAAATCACATCGTGGTAATAGGCAACCTGTTATATCAAGAACTGATGAAAATGAGAATGAAAGTGCAGTCTAGTGTGGATTTGTAGTCATCAAATCTCACAAGAATCATATCTTCTGGTTATGTAGTATTCTATAATGCTTTGTTCTACTGCAGTGCATAGTATGTGCATAGCAACTCATCACCAGCTCCCTGAATGATACATGCTGGACCCTGATCCATGACAGGTCCCTAAATCTTATACAGTGGACCCTGCTCTATGGGAGGTCCTTAAATCATATATGTAAGACTTGGTTCTATGACAGGTCCTTAACTCATATATGGAGGATTCCGATGTACGACAGGTCCCTAAATCATATATGCTGGTCTTCGATATGTGGATGGTCCCTGAATCATATTTGTAGGACTCTGATCTGTGGATGGTCCTTAAATAAGGGAGGTCCTCTATGGAGGTTCCTTAACCTGTGACAGATTCCTGTGAAAGAAATGTTCATGTGAGCTTTTGTAATTACCCCTTAAAAGTGTTACCCCCAGAGACACCCTGTACTATACATATAGGGTCAGTTGTATCTTGGGGTGGGTCTGGGGGCTAAGTTCTTCATCATGCTAAGAAGTCACTGTAAGATCTACCACTGAAATGTGACACACATATGACAGTCTGCCACAGATCTTAGTCCTACCACCGATCTGAGAGTCTGCCACAGATCTCAGTCCTACCACCGATCTGAGAGTCTGCCACCGATATCAGTCCTACCACCGATCTGAAAGTCTGCTACCGATATCAGTCCTACCTCTGATCTGAGAGTCTGCCACAGATCACAGTCCTACCTACGATCTGAGAGTCTGCCACCGATATCAGCCCTACCACCGATCTGACAGTCTGCCACAGATCTCAGTCCTACCACCGATCTCAAAGTCTGCCATAGATCTCAGTCCTACCACCGATCTGAGAGTCTGCCATAGATCTCAGTCCTACCACCGATCTCAAAGTCTGCCATAGATCTCAGTCCTACCACCGATCTGAGAGTCTGCCACAGATCTCAGTCCTACCACCGATCTGAAAGTCTGCCACAGATCTCAGTCCTACCACCGATCTGAGAGTCTGCCATAGATCACAGTCCTACCACCGATCTGAGAGTCTGCCACCACCGATCTGATCTCAGTCCTACCACAGATCTGCCACAGATCTCAGTCTGCCACCACTGCCATCTCAGTCCTACCACACATCTCAAAGTCTGCCACCGAGATCTCAGTCCTACCACCCGACCACCGATCTCAGTCCTACCACCGAGAGAGTCTGCCACCACCATCTGAGATCTCAGTCCTACCACAGATCTCAAACACAGTCTGCCTACAGATCTCAGTCCTACCACAGATCTCAGTCACACTAGATCTCAGTCCTACCACTGATCTGAGTCCTACCACAGATCTTAAAGTCTGCTACAGATCTCAGTCACACCACAGATCTCAGTCCTACCACCGATCTCAGTCCTACCACTGATCTCAGTCCTACCACAGATCTCAAAGTCTGCCACAGATCTATGTCCTACCACTGATCTCAGTCCTACCACAGATCTTAAAGTCTGCTACAGATCTCAGTCCTAACACAGATCTCAAAGTCTGCCATAGATCTCAGTCCCACTGACATCTGCATACATGCTGCTACAAGTGATGTAAGAAAGGGCATACATGTGAAGCGAAAGAAAGATACAGAGGAATGTAGACACAAAGTTTGGAAACAACACAGCTGTAATAAACAACTTGTATCTTTCTTGTTGACCATTCTGTTTACTGCAGCTCTCTATTATTGTTTTTCAAGTTACCCTGTATTTTGCAAAAGGAAACAAAAAGGACTTTCGGCTATGGTGTTCTACTGAAAAAAGGGAAGCAACCTTTCTCAACACTGGCAGTACTTTAATTTGCTTTAATCTAGGCTCTTGAGTCAGTACAAAAGTAACCCAAAAACATGTCAAAAGTGAGACTTGATAAGAAACACTACAACAGATTTGCTACCTTATGCATTAATATACTGCAGTCCTGAATGGTGGGTGACTCAAGTACACGACAACAAACCCAATTACTGTGATAAAGGTACGTACACACACGTTTCTCAGTTTACTGTTATATATCTCAGGTTATCTCTGTACCAAGAATATTCCAAGGAATGTGACACTCTGCCCCCAGATAACACCAAGTCAAGATGATCAGTCAACCACCTTAGTAAATTACATGAACTCGTATTTGGACACATCAGAAAATCACATATCATGAACACATAGCATGATCATTAGATCAACTTTTAACTGACACATATTTTGGATATAAATGAGACTTATGGTAGACCTGCATCAGGATTATATGGGCCAGGGAATCTGCCTGCAGTGTTTGTTGCAGTGTTGATTGTGGTGTATGTACTTGATAACATAACCTAGTGAAGGGGAGACAGATAACGCAGAGAGTGATCAGGGTACACGGTGTCCATTCATGGACTGATGCTCTCCTGATCAACCGACCAACTTGACCCATGTACTCCCATGTGTCATGTGACATCATTTTAATCAGATAGCAACAGAATTTTCTTTGTTTATGGTCCACAAGTACTCAACAAAATAGAAAACAAAATTCTCTTTTGTCTAAATGTACAAGGTTAATTATGATATGAAACACTAAGAAATGATTGTTAAAATGTTAAAAATAAATAAACAAAATAAACAAAAATGATAAAGCTTGCGAAAAGATGAGACTACCAGCCACTTGAAGCAGCAAACTGGGTTCCATCCTAACTACTGTCTTATCTTGTGGAGACGGATATGGAAATGCAGCATTAACATCAACATCTATGTCACACAGATCATTCTTTAGCACAAGTGATGTTTCAATTATGAATTCATCACAGTCAGATTTCATTACAACACTGTTTTGGGTATACAGTGTTTCATCAGAGTCTTGACAGAAAGATGTCTGTTTACAAAGAACAAAAAGAAAACATTATGACATAGATTGACACATCCTCCCTGTAACTACTGCACTATCCACACTGTCTATCTACACTATGCTACATTTATACACTACATGGCATGATAATATAATTCATAAAATAGAGTTTGATCACACATATACGTATGATTTGTTCACCTCCAGGGACAGACTCCATGAACTTTATCTAATTAGTCCATCGCTCACTTCTGACAAATGTCTTTATGTAACACAAATATTTATCACAAGACCACCTTGTCCATCCACAACATCACTAATTGTGGACTATCTGACTTGTGTCTGTGTCTAGCTTGGCTTTTGGAATAGTATCGCAAATGTTTGCATTCCCTATTGGCCCATAGGTACTACAGAATGAGATAAAACATAAAATGACATACATTTTTTATGAGGATTTTATATACATGAGTCAAACTGCCTCTTTCTCTTCTTTTCTTTCAACATTTGGAATCACCTTATAACGTGTCTATTCACCACTTCATAACATGCATATTCACCACTTTATAACATGTATATTCATCACCTTATAACATGTATATTCACCACCTTATAACATGTATATTCACCACTTCATAACATGTATATTCACCACCTTAAAACATGTATATTCCCCACCTTATAACATGTATATTTACCACCTTACAATGTATACTCCCCACCTTATAACATGTATATTTACCACCTTATTACATGTATATTTTCCACCTTATAACATGTATATATTCACCACCTTATAACATGTATATTCACCACCTTCCTGTATTGCTATTAAACATATTATTTTTCAAATTAGATATGAAACATATTTCAAAATAAATTATGACCATATTAACCATTTTCATAAAATAATATTTGTTCACGCTCAGTTCTATTCACATGCTTGACTAAAGCAGAGCAGATAAAAATGTTCATATTTTATACATCTCTCATTTGATAATATTTCAAAACCTAATACAATTCTAATACTTCATGCTGTGTAATGGCATATCTCTTTCACAGTCTATCATCGCAGGGCCATCTGATTCAAGTCTCTCGGACTGGTTACTCGGGGGACTCCAGTTCCGATTCTCGGCCATCACGATTGAGGCCATGTATGTGAACGTACTGAACAGTCTTGGTATTATAGTTCACCGGGGGTCCCTCCCCCATCCAGGACCGAGCAAACAACCCTTCCACTTCCTCCAGTGTTTTGCCCTTTGTTTCTGGCAAAATCATGGCCAGAATTATTGCACCAAGAAATGCCAGGCAGGCATACAACCAGAATGTACCTGAAACATAAAAGTAGGAATGTTTATACATGAAGGTAGTTTTGTTGGGTGAACAAAGTCCTAGGGATCATCACTGATGATGATGATGATGATGATGATGACGACGACGATGACGACGACGACAACGATCTGTTCAGCACATCATCAACACACTCCAATTACTGGATCACAATTAATTCTCAGCTCCACTGGGGGTATACAAACCAAGCTACCAGTGAGGTGCCAGATATGTAACAGTCATATTACCAACCCATCCTCCTGGGTACCCATGTAAGGAAGAGGCTAACTCTGAGCAATGTGACAGTGACACTTGCCCTAGGATATCTCATATGTGCTTCAGTTTGGGGCAGTTCCAAAGCCCAAGAATTCATGAGCCAAACTGACGAATACAGCCAGTGTCATCAAGGGACTCTTTGCGGCAAACTTTGGCAGATTTGTTACAACCACCATACATGGGGAAGTTTGACTGCTGAAGTGAAAATTTGTTAACTCAAAATCCTTGGGAACATCGACAATAATGATGATAATGAGATTGATGATGATAATAATAATAATCAATAATATAAAACCATGAACTAATGACGTGCTTATCAAAAGTTATTACTTCACATCTGTAACGGCTCAGAAATCTTGAATGAAAAGAAGCAGTTATTGTATTTTATGGATCTTCAGCCATGCCAAAATCATTAAAGGGAGTTAACTGTGTAACACTTGTTTACATTCACAGACATGGCATTGACAGAATTTTCACCCGTTTCATTTCTACACCAATTACATCATTTGAATCATCCAGAACTGACCACACTACAACATGAAAACCTTAAATGAGTTGTAGCAGTCAAAGAGTCATTTTGTTTACAATCCTGAGTCCAAACTTGACTTATAATTTACAGATCACCGCCGTATAGCTGGAATATTGCTGAGAGCCAGGCTAAGAGGTGAGGTGAGGTGAAATTGGGTTTAACGTCACGCTGGAGAATATTTCGCTCATATGACGATGTGCATGTGTGTGTATGTGTATGTGCGGCTGCTTGTACTAGCCCAGACTTAAGCTGGTTTTATAGTGCTAGCCCACTGAGATACTATGCCGCAGTGAAGCATGAATACCCCACTCAGACACATTATACAGACTCCAAGCTGACCAGTCCTTGTTGTAACCATTAATGCCGAGCGCCAGGCAGGGACCAACAAGTACCCTATTTTAACGTCTTTTGGTATGACGCGGTCGGGGATCGAACCCGCGACCTTCCGCTCTCCGGGCGGACGCTCTAACCACTACACCACGGAGGCGGTCGCCAGGCTAAGAAACGAACAAGCAACAAGTACTCTGCAAAGTTGAATGATGAAGGCCAGTAAATAATTGAGTCTGGACCTGACAATGTAGTGATTGATGTCATGAGCATCAATCCACACTGCCAAGTTGAATGGGGTGGGTAGGTTGTCCGGTATGTGAGAACACTGTGTATTACCATATCTAGTGAGTGTCTCAGTGAGGCTGATGAAGGACATGGACACTGCCAAGTTGAAAGTCCAGTTGGTGAAGGTGGACACTGCCGTCCCCACGCTCCGAGCCCACAGTGGGTAGATCTCAGAGTTGATTGTCCAGGGCATGGGGCCCATACCTTCAATACAAACACATGAGAAACGTCAGCTTGGCAGGTAACAAGGAAATAATATTAACAGTAAGCATGATCTTCTGGAAATATATTCCTCAATGACCTGTAGATAAGTAGAAGAGGATACACGTTATGCCTTCGCTTGCCTGAGATCATTATTAAAGCATTAAAGGATACACTTTATACCTTCTTTTGCCTGAGATCATTATTAAAGTATAAAAGGATACACTTTATGCCTGCGCTTGCTGTAGATCATTATTAAAGCATTAAAGGATACACTTTATACCTTCTCTTGCCTGAGATCATTATTAAAGTATAAAAGGATACACTTTATACCTTCTCTTGCCTGAGATCATTATTAAAGTATAAAAGGATACACTTTATGCCTGCGCTTGCTGTAGATCATTATTAAAGCATTAAAGGATACACTTTATACTTTCTCTTGCCTGAGATCATTATTAAAGTATAAAAGGATACACTTTATACCTTCTCTTGCCTGAGATCATTATTAAAGTATAAAAGGATACACTTTACACCTTCTCTTGCCTGAGATCATTATTAAAGTATAAAAGGACACACTTTATACCTTCTCTTGCCTGAGATCATTATTAAAGTATAAAAGGATACACTTTATGCCTTCGTTTGCTGTAGATCATTACTAAAGTATTAAAAGATACACTTTATGCCTACGCTTGATGTAGATCATTATTAAAGTATAAAAGGATACACTTTATGCCTGCGCTTGATGTAGATCATTATTAAAGCATTAAAGGATACACTTTATACCTTCTCTTGCCTGAGATCATTATTAAAGTATAAAAGGACACACTTTATACCTTCTCTTGCCTGAGATCATTATTAAAGTATAAAAGGACACACTTTATACCTTCTCTTGAGATCATTATTAAAGTATAAAAGGACACACTTTATACCTTCTCTTACCTGAGATCATTATTAAAGTATAAAAGGACACACTTTATGCCTTCCCTTGCCTGAGATCCTTATTAAAGCATTAAAGGATACACTTTATGCCTTCGCTTGCTGTAGATCATTATCAAAGTATAAATGGGTACATGTTATGCCTTCGCTTAACCCCATACAGCTACAGGGATCAGCATTAAACCTCCAACAATCAACACATGTAGCTGGGGACCAATATCCAGCCCCGTACAGCTACAGTGTTCAGCGCAGTCCAGTGTTTTCCTTCACCTGGGGCAAAGAAGACCAGGTACAGCACAAGTCCCACCATGGGCATCCAGGAGTACTGGGTGGGACAGTAGTCATAGGCCCAGGTGATGGCGCCTGGAAGTTCGCTGGAGTTGCAGCGACCCTGTGTTGCCAACCAGGGGTTGTCATAGCTGGTTGGTAGGCACGACGAGTTGGCAACAGCATCACCAGCATCAACGTAGCAGAAACCACAGTTTAGGTCACGACGACAGTCATTGCAGATTCTGGAAAAGAGTTGAAGCTAGTTATATACAATCAGTCTCACTTCAATCTTATTACCCCCAAGTCAGCTAATCTGGACGTTACCAATAACAATTGTCTGTTTTAACAAGTTTAACATGTTATCAAAATGTATCATTGGATTTTACAGGAGATATCACCTTGGTGACATCAAGTGAGGTCTCACTACAATGACATTACATCACAATGCTTTGTAGGCCATTATGATGCCATACGTTACCATGATTCTCTGTATGCATGACAATAATCAATTCAATTCCATATTGATGAGGTTCATAGGCACAATGTTTTACTGTAATCTGTTCACACTTCTTGATGACCTCTGTCGGAGCTCACCTGTATCTTGCACAGTGGGATTCTGTACCGGAAGTCTCTACCAGATCTATAGGGGGTGTGTTGAGGGCAGACAGGTGGAATCCAACTGCCAGCCAAGCTAAACTCACTATGGCACCTGTTAAGTAGGAAATATCGCATGATACATTCCTCCAACAAGAAAGCTGTACAGAGACCAGTCTAATATGTATTGAATGACAAACTATTTAACATGAGCTGAATAAGATTTTCGGATGTTTTCAAGATTTAAGACCATGTCTACAAACATTGAACAGAGGACATCGAACTATAACATACCACAACTTAATTCCAAATGTATGCTTTCCTCAAATATACTCAAGAAAATAAATATGGCAACACATAGTGTGCTTCATATCACTGACATAACAGAGTGATATATCAGTGGGATGGGTGAGGTTAGGTGAAATTGGGTTTAATGTCATGCTTGAGAATATTTCACTCATATGACAACGTGCATGCGTGTGTGTGTGTGGCTGCTTGTACTAGCCCAGACTTAAGCTGGTTTTATGGTGCTAGCCCACTGAGATACCACGCCGCAGTGAAGCATGAATACCCCACTCAGACACAGTTTACTGACTCCGAACCGACCAGTCCTTGTTGTACCCATTAATGCCGAGCGCCAGGCAGGGACCAACAAGTACCATATCACGTCTTTTGGTATGACGCGGCCAGGGATCAGTGGGATGGGCAGGCATGGGGTGTCAAAGGATTTTGATGCGTGAATGTACAGACAATAATGACCACCCAAATGACTAGCATATTTTGGATGACCCTCCCTGAAAAGCAAAATACAAAAGCACTTATGTTAATTTAAACAATCCAATCTTTCACAGCCTTCTATGAGGTGTGTACATTGTTATGACCCTCCCCTGGAGACTGCCCTTTTCATTGGTGACCCCCCTTGATTCCTTCTGACCTTCCCCTCAGGTAACCCAAACATACAACAAAACTAATTTCCATGTTTGTTGGACAGACAATGTTATTTTTTTATCTTATCGTGTAGTTGACATGTCTGATTTCTCCAGTAAGATACACCTAGTGCAGTTTTGGGGAAACTGGAAATGCCATTCCAGAATATGGTGACCTACCCATAAGACTTCCTAATGTCAGTGGGCGTCGCCCAATCTTCTCTACCAGAAACAAGCCTAGAAGTGTAAACAGGAAGTTGACTGCAGCTGTTACTGCCGACAACCATATCGCAGCTTCATCACTCTTGACCCCTGACATGCGAATAATGGTGGCACTGTAATACCTGGAATTATGGGTAAAGGCATTAGACATAATCACTCTAGGTCCAGCGACCAACTGACGTCCCTAAAAGCAAAAATTACACAATCAGTTTTGGTCAATTTCACTCAAATAAACTTCCTTCATGCTGTGTAGGACTGGCCTCCGCACTTATTGAACACATTCCTGGCCTGACTAACACCAATTTCCTTTAAATGCAACTTCTCTTGGTGCACTGACTCAATGAAATTCTGAGACATATCACTGAAGAGGGTATCGACCCATTCATTCAAACTGCACTTTCTATTGACGAGGAAGAATTATTGATAGGAGAGGTCGATAACAGACTCGAGGCAATTTACTCTGAATGAATCTCACTGATTGAGTCATCTGACAAATTAACGCTATACTCTTTCTGTTTCCTATTCTTATTAGATTTACAAAGAACATGGTTTGATAAATGCCTTTAACTAGATTCCGTCTGCACGATTGTGAAAGTTGAGATAAACAATATCACATGTTTTAATGTAGCGGTGATTAGGGAAACAGAGTCTTTCCTGGGCAGACAAATCTCCACACGAGATGCTGATGCCACGACTGTACATCTTCGTGTCAGTTACAATAACCAGTTGATAAATACCAGCATGGTTCAGACATGCCACAGGGAAGTCTTACAAAATGTACAAGAATTGGTCTAGACATCCGTCTGTAGCAAACATTTTCTCCAGATCCTTCTGTTATAATGGAAACAGATTCTTGTTCACAAATTATTCATGATACTGGCACATTGTACCCAGAGCTTTGTTCATAGAAATTTCAGATAATGAAAAAGTCTGAGGATAAAAAATTGATTTGTTTGAATATGTTCAAAACAAATCTGTTATGACTATCCTTGTCAGGAGTACACAGATTGCCAAAATTGGCGCCATTTCAACTTCAGATCCTGATCCGGTGCAAGGACTGTCATAATTCTAATACTCCAACATTGATTTACGAGGATTCAAATCATTTCCAATTTATTTGGCTAACTTTCACAGTTATCTGGATTAGAGGAACTGAAATAAAATGTGTCGGGCATACTGTAGTTCTAAAAGTAATTAATGTACTGGTCATCAGATAAAATACATCCCAGCATGTGCCTCAAACTTATAAAGAGGGAGTGTGTGAGTGAGTTTAGTTTTACAGTGCACTCAGAAATATTCCAGCTATATGAAGGCCGTCTGTAAATAATTGAGTCTGGACCAGACAATCAAGTGATCAACAGCATGAGTGTCGTACTGCGCAACTGGGATACGATGACATGTGTCAACCAAGCCAGCAGGCCTGACCACCCAATCCCGTTAGTCGCCTCTTACGACAAGGGGTCGGTGGGGTAGTCTAGTGGTTAAAGCATTGGCTCGTCACGCCGAAGACCCGGGTTCAAATCCCCACATGGGTACAATGTGTGAAGCCCATTTCTGGTTTCCCTCGCCGTGATGTTGCTGGAATATTGCTAAAAGCGGCCTAAAACCAAACTCAGTCAGTCAGTCTTACGACAAGCATGGGTTACTGAAGGTTCATTCCAACCCAGACCTTCACGGGTCAAACTTATAAAGAAGGCAGAAGCTTGTACACTGGAATTAAACGATCTGATAAAAGACACTATTAGAAATTAACTCCAACAGCAAAATGATAACTGAATCATTGCCTTCCGATAGGGAGCATTAATTTACACTGTCCTTATGTTACATCTACTTGTGAAAACCAAAAAAAGACTTACATGACTGTGTTGATACCCGCAACCTGCTGAAATATCTGAAGACTACATCCCACTATTAGTGCTCGTCGAATAGCAGGTGTCTGAAGCATCTGGATGAATATTGGTTTATGTGCTGAAATACAAATATAGTTATAATATTTAAACAAAACATTTAGGCATCCTGTTCCAAAACACCACACATACTGTTCACATTGTTTTGGCATACCATCTTGTTGAACAGGCTGCCCTATTCAACCTAACATAATACAGACATTTGTGGCGAACTAACTGTAAAATAACACAGCCTTGTCTTCAGGGTGAGTGAGTCTGTGCTATTTAACAGTATTCAAGATTATCAGACTTGGAACATAAGATATGGGTATCACACAGGGTGGAGAGTGGAGAGAGAGAAGAAAAAGAACTAGAGAAATAAAGGGAAGAAGATGGTATCATTATTCAATGGACACTTTGTTCTGAAAAATATGGAGTTTGTGGTCTTCCCAAGTATATGCTTAAAATCTAAGAAAAATACTGTTTGGCTTGAAGTTCTGACTGACCAAAATATCTGAGTCCCTTAAAATATTAAATGGCTGATCTCAATCTGACTGCCAGGTAGTACTGACCTCTTGATGCCTGCTGCTGTTTGATCTCTGTGCATGTATTCTTGATGCTTTCAAACTCCTCCTCGATGTCTAGCTGTCCTCTCATGGACTGAAGGACCCTTCTCGCCTTCTCCTCCTTCTCCGTGATGATCAGCCATCTTGGACTCTCGGGCATGAACATGAAGCCAATGAACTGGACCATGGACGGTACACAGCCCAGTGCCAACATGTACCTGAAACATGGAGGATCTAGCAATGAACTGGATCATGGACGGTACACAGCCCAGTGCCAACATGTACCTGAAACATGGAGGATCTAGCAATGAACTGGATCATGGACGGTATACAGCCCAGTGCCTACATGTACCTGAAACATGGAGGATCTAGCAATGAACTGGATCATGGACGGTGCACAGCCCAGTGTCAACATGTACCTGAAACATCAAGGATCTAGCAATGAACTGGATCATGGACGGTATACAGCCCAGTGTCAACATGTACCTGAAACATTGAGGATCTAGCAATGAACTGGATCATGGACGGTACACAGCCCAGTGTCAACATGTACCTGAAACATGGAGGATCTAGCAATGAACTGGATCATTGATGGTACACAGCCCAGTGTCAACATGTACCTGAAACATGGAGGATCTAGCAATACACTGGATCATGGATGGTACACAGCCCAGTGCCAACATGTACCTGAAACATCAAGGATCTAGCAGTGAACTGGATCATGGACGGTACACAGCCCAGTGTCAACATGTACCTGAAACATCAAGGATCTAGCAGTGAACTGGATCATGGATGGTACACAGCCCAGTGCCAACATGTACCTGAAACATCAAGGATCTAGCAATGAACTGGATCATGGATGGTATACAGCCCAGTGCCAACATGTACCTGAAACATGGAGGATCTAGCAATGAACTGGATCATGGACGGTACACAGCCCAGTACCAACATGTACCTGAAACATGGAGGATCTAGCAATGAACTGGATCATGGACGGTATACAGCCCACTGTCAACATGTACCTGAAACATGGAGGATCTAGCAATGAACTGGATCATGGACGGTACACAGCCCAGTGCCAACATGTACCTGAAACATCCAGGATCTAGCAATGAACTGGATCATGGACGGTACACAGCCCAGGGCCAACATGTACCTGAAACATCAAGGATCTAGCAATGAACTGGATCATTGATGGTACACAGCCCAGTGTCAACATGTACCTGAAACATGGAGGATCTAGCAATGAACTGGATCATGGACGGTACACAGCCCAGTGCCAACATGTACCTGAAACATTGAGGATCTAGCAATGAACTGGATCATTGATGGTACACAGCCCAGTGCCAACATGTACCTGAAACATCAAGGATCTAGCAATGAACTGGATCATGGACGGTACACAGCCCAGTGTCAACATGTACCTGAAACATCAAGGATCCAGCAATGAACTGGATCATGGACGGTACACAGCCCAGTGCCAACATGTACCTGAAACATTGAGGATCTAGCAATGAACTGGATCATGGATGGTACACAGCCCAGTGCCAACATCATAATCAGGGTGATTCCAGCCAATAATCATCAGTGCAGTGTATAATGCTTCTTATTATGCAAAAATGGAATTATAGCCAAGAAGTCAGGACACATATTTGGGTATATTGCTGAATTCAGTAGTTAATGTTTGGTAATCACAGCAAATATGTATATGAAAATAAGTTGAGGCTTTAAAACAGACTAGTTTACCAAACTACCAGCTTCATTCCTATAACAACCAGCTACAAAGTCAGAATCACAGCATGTACACACAAAACTCAGGATATACAACACTTTAAAGCTTTTCAACCATGTATAGAAAACATGAAGAACAAAGACAAATTCTGAAATGAGTTTTCCATTACGACACTTTCAAAACTAAGGACCATTTTACAACAGAGCCAGAAAGAAATTGACATACAACTTCTGGTGAAATAAGCTTACCTCCATCCATTCTGGGTGTCTGCTCCAAATATCCCATCCACCACATTGGCCATGAACTGTCCAAAGGCCACCATGGCGATGTTAGTGGACACCAGCGACCCCCGGGCATAGGAGGGGGAGCATTCAGCCAGGTACATGGGGATAGTTGTTGATGTCAGCCCTGAAACACACAAATGTACATCTTGAGCTGCAGGAATAATGCTACCTATCTCTTATCATCTCGATGTAAGTTCTGTAGTATGGTCAAATACTACATACGTAAGTGTTTACAAGTCTCTGTGTTAATAGTACAGTTTCATCTTGAATAAACTAAACATGGTGGGCAAGCTGTCTCATGGTTGGCAAGCTGTCTAAGGTGCCAGGCTAGACTGATCCAGCAAGCTTGAGGTGCCGGGATCGAGCCCACCTGTGACCGGGTGTAAAAACCTTGGAGTCAACTTTGTGTGCAGACTCTTTCAGTGTTGTCACAGCACCTAGTGTACAGTACACAACCCTGTGCACTTAAAAGAACCCATGAATCCGTGGTATATGACCAGATGGTGGCCACATGAATAAGTGCAAATACCTAGTTGAGGGTACAGCAACGTGCAGTAAACTTGGACAAAGTACTGTGACTACGTGTCCCAGTCCACAAAGGTGTGAATGGGTACCTCATAAGGATGGGAAAGCAGCAATAACTTGGTGCACCTAGTGGCTTCGAGAGTTGTATCCTCCCCAGGGAGTTGAGAACGATATTATGTTGTGCCTGTAGCAAGGTAAGGATGTCATCTGTGGGATGATTTCACGCCCTGCTACATGCTGTTGAAATTGAAAATCCAATGATCGAGGACAAAAATGCCAGCGCCTTGAGTATGTATTAGTTGCGTGGATATGTGCGCTATATAAACATCCTATAATAATATAAACATAAAAAATAGATACATGACAAAAAGTATCCACTGATGTATCAAAACTGTTATTCAATAATGGGAATCTGTTGGCATTCCAGGCAAGAATATAGTTGCCTAGCAACAGTGCTTGTTACTGAGAAGAAACAAATGGATAGGGTGGTTCAGCTTAGTGACCTGGTTGATTGTGTGTCAGCATGAAGGTCACCAATTATTGTGCTTTCTGTCCGAGTACAGTACAGTGAACAGTACAAAAGATTTCCCCTTTATTTGGCTTTCTGTTAGAGTCATGGATGTTTTCTGACAGCAGTGAAGAGTACAAAAGATTTCCCCTATATTTAGCTTCCTTTGTGAGTTCAGGACATTTCGTGCAAATCATCTTTCAGATATGCACTACCCTTTATCTTTCTGCTCCATTATGTGTCCAAACAATGTTTGTGAGTCTCCTCTGGGAACACATGGAGCATAACGTGGCATCAGAGAGTCGGTGTGTACAGCCTAGCAACTGTCAGCCATGAAACAGGAGGATTCTTCGGGTAACTCATAACTGATACAGCGTGTTGTAATCATCAAAACATTAAAGCAAAACATACGTAACAAAGAAAGATGAGGTCTTTCATGGCGCGACAGAAGGCATTGATCTGCCACTAAATCTCAGGTTATGGGATGAAGCTTACAAAAGCAGCCTGATCATGTGTTTCAGATAAAAGGACATACTGGAAATGACATGTAGAAATTTTGTCCAAATTAATTAGTAGATTATCATACGTTATTATCGCTGCACAGCAAGTTTAATGGTAGTACGTGTTCAGAGATGTACATTTTTCATAATGAAAACTAAAGAAGAGTGATTTTTATGATAAATAGAATCTCACCCTCATGTCTACTGGTCACAATTTTATCAACACTGATTGATAAAAGTAAAAGTTGTTCAGTTTTATTCAAGTAAATTTAAGTTTAATTCACTTCTGACTGGAGTGAAGTAAGAACATGTTTATCTTTGTTTCATGCCAGACCTTCCTTTGGGATGGCGCCAACCCTCACACCTACTTATTGCCATCACTCAAAGCTTTGTCCTGTTCACACAAAGCTGTATATTTTGGAAGTATTCAAGATGCATTGAACCTATTACATATTTATCAGGCTTGTGGCTTCATCAGTTTCAAGTACACAAGTTCTTGCAATTGCCTTGTCAGCCATCATTGAAAGTGTACCTTCATTAATACTGAAGTAAGATATAACCTTCTCTATTGCTTCAGGGACAAAGTTTCCCCCACATCAAATTCTCCTAATGCTGGTGGTAGTGTTTGTCCAAGGGGAAATTGGTCAGAGTCATTTGCTTAACCAAATTTCTGTTCCTCAAACTACCATCAAATTGAGTTATCTCCCTTTCCACCTGAGTAAAATCAATGTCCCTGTCCTTATTTGGGCATCACCCTGATAAAAACATGTTCATAGAGTCGAGTCTTGCATTAACGAAATTACACCCGTCCTTTGCGTCAACCTACACTGATTGATTGTCTACCATGTGACAAGTTATCAATGAGAATCTACATCTAGTGGGACGAGGCCTATAAATAATCAAGTAGAACTCACAAAGACACCCAAGATACTTGTATTTCTATTCTGGCACCAGATCCTGGTATATTTAGCTCTTTGTGATGTATTATTGATAACGACAGTGCTAGTAGCAGGATGACTACTTCCACTGATTACTGAGTACAACACTGGTGTCGTGGCCAGTATGGTTTTAGACTACAGAGACTATAGAGGTGTCAATTGTATGATGGAGTTTTGTTGTAATGTTTTCTTAATGAGTCCATAAAGAGTGTTCGTGTAATATGTTGTTTTTAAATGTGAAATATTACTGTTTGATATTTAAATTTCATTACCTGTACACTTGTAAAGTCCATAAAGAGTGTTTGTGTAAAATGTTGTTTCTAAATGTGAAATATTACTGTTTGATATTTAAATTTCATTACCTGTACACTTGTAATGTTGCATTGAAATGTAACTTCTGATTACTGGGGTAATGTCTTTCATCCCTGCCTGTCTCCCGAACAGGTCCCCTCCACACATCAGTTCAATTACTCCCAAGTGACTACAGACTAAATATAAATACACTTGAGGAAACACACCATATCTATAAAAATACTCAAACATTCCTGCTTCCTGTTGATACTTCACAGATACCTCGAAGTGTTTGTTTCAAACAATATGTACATTTAAAGCATTAAAATACCTCTTGAAGGAAAACATAATGTTAAACTGTCGTTAAATGAGGGATAACTCTTCATTTGGAAAGATTAGAAACTATTCAGCTCTACGCCAAGTTCAGAACGGTGTTGCCAGGGTGCAATATTGCTCAGGTATCGGCGGCCATTTGCATTTTTTAAGGGGTCGATATTACCAATTCCCTCTGGTAATATAAAGCAGTGAAAATATTGTGATGAAATGCCAACTAGGTTTGAAACACATTTTATGAACACATTAAAAATTTAATTGTTTCTAATTCTGCCTCGTTTCCATGGAAACAAAAATGTCATTACCTAATCAACAAAGGCAACATTTCATCTTCATGTAAAAACGAGAGCAGGATTTGCAAAGATATACTGAATGATAAATGAATGGTTAATTCACAGGCTCACTACATATTCTGTAATACAATGTACCAGAATAAAAAAGAAATACTAATAAATTTTCTGATAACTGATAAATAATTCATACATGAAATATGACATATCCCAACTGAGACTGCACTTCATGTGTGTTTAAACCCTGCTCAGACTAACCCGATGCTTCTTGACTGAACCCTCCTCCACTCCCATTTAAGACCCTCCTATGTACTCCTACGTATGTCCATCACTGTATGTCTCCCAGTGTCACAGGAAATTGTCCATCTCTGATCGGTGCCAGTGCCGCCTCTCAGTGGCTCTCTTGCTGAGTAGGAGGACTCATACACTCAAAACTGATGGAAAATCAATGGAAAATGGCTCCATTCAGGTCCATGCAAATGTTACATCAGGATGGCGATTAATGGTTCATTAACCTACGCAGGAGGTATTGAACTGAGACCAATCCTAAATCAACAACATCATCATAAAAACCAGGGTGCATGATGGATGGAGTGTATTCCTCAATACTGGGAGTGAGCAATAACTGGGAGGTGCGTGGGTGAGACTTCCGTGTCTAACCTATCTAGGTCTGAAATCACCCATTTACCCCAAACCCTGGAGTCTGGGAACCAATCTGTCCCAGGTATCAGAACAGATGAATGTGTCAATTCCATTCCATCCACTGCACCCATCAACAAGTGAAAGGTCTATCTAAATTATATGTTCAAGCTTAGCTAAATCAATTACTTGAAATGATAAATTCATATTACTGACATGTAAGATATTTCACTGTCATGCAAGTTCTAAGAAGGGCTGGCATTGCTAGAGAACAGAAAATGCCAATAAACTTGGGAAGGTGAAGTCAAGTTGTTATTGTGCAACTCAGTTCAGTTCCTGGACAGAGTTCAACACAATGGCCCTGTGTCAGAAAGTGATCAGAATGCAACATCTCTCCTGCTCTAGTACAGACTTACGCTGCTCGTAACACAATGGCCCTGTGTCAGAAAGTGATCAGAATGCAACATCTCTCCTGCTCTAGTACAGACTTACGCTACTCGTAACACAATGGCCCTGTGTCAGAAAGTGATCAGAATGCAACAACAACTCTCCTGCTCTAGTACAGACTTACGCTACTCGTAACACAATTGCCCTGTGTCAGAAAGTGATCAGAATGCAACAACTCTCCTGCTCTAGTACAGACTTACACTACTCGTAACACAATGGCCCTTTTACAGAAAGTGATCAGAATGCAACAACTCTCCTGCTCTAGTACAGACTTACGCTACTCGTAACACAATGGCCCTGTGTCAGAAAGTGATCAGAATGCAACAACAACTCTCCTGCTCTAGTACAGACTTACATGACTCGTAACCCTCCTGTCTGTTTGTGGTACGCTATTCGTAACCCTCCTGTCTCTTTGTGGTACGCTATTCGTAACCCTCCTGTCTCTTTGTGGTACGCTATTCGTAACCCTCCTGTCTCTTTGTGGTACACTATTCGTAACCCTCCTGTCTCTTTGTGGTACGCTATTCGTAACCCTTCTGTCTCTTTGTGGATTGAGAGGATTACACTGAACAGTACATTGCTATTGTAAGTCAGGTAGTCAGGACAGGTATGCCATTCCCATATTGATTTTGGATTGATTTTCTGAATTAATC